CCCCCCCCAATAGGAGACAGCCTACGAGAATTAAAACATATACTGAAGTATAACCCAGAAACAGAAAAGGTTCTTGAAACTAAAATGCTAGTAGCATACACAAAACCAAAATATATTAGAAACTACTTAGTCCGGAGTGACATAGCTAACGAACGAGAACCGCGGGCAGCAGGCCGTGCGGCAGAAACTGCAGAATATGTAGACATATGAACAATGGGTGTGTGTGTGTGTGCCTGTATGTTGCCAGTGACGCAGTACCATAACATCAAAAATGAACTAGTCATCTACGCCACTTGTAAAAGTGGTAGCCTTGTTATTAGTGTGTGTAGTTTATACTTTCAGCCATATCATTAATTTAAACATATATACATATTTTCCATATAAATGTCCATCTATTTCGATACGTAATTAATTATCGATAATTTTTAAATATATCTTATTATTCTTTGTTAATGTATATATGTTGTACCGTTTCAGGAGAAGACTAATATAGGCACTGCCTGTTGTCTCATCCTTTTGTAAATACAATAAAATTTGTTGAGACCAAAATGCAACGATATCGGCCATTTTTATATCGTAAGAAGATCGAAATAGAACTATCTCTTTGTTTCTCTCAATGTACTCGTAGCAAACTCTGTTCGTCCTGAATTAATTGGAGGGTTTTAAAATTAAACTGTCTAGAAATAATCGGGACGAAATGTCTCTTCCTTTCTCTCAATGGAGCAGACGGGCACCTGAAGCGTACGATATGCCCGCCATATTGTCCGCCACACTTAAGATCAAATTCAGACCCAAGTCTACCCTGTGGCAGTCTTAGGATTTAAGACAGAAATTTAGAGTTAAGACTTAAGGTGTTTTTTCATGATCCCCAAGCTAAGTCTGTTTTCAGACTTAAGTCAAAAAACTTTAGACTTAAGTCCGTTAAATAATCCCGGGCCAAGGATTCATTTGTTCAAAACACAAAGACCCTGGGGACTGAACATTATCACCTAGGAACAATGGTTAACACAAAAACAACCAAGCGGACGATAACGGACCAGCAAAAGTAAAACGTAAGATCCCGTGTATACTATGCGGGAAAACATATTCATCATTAGGAACACTTAGACGACACATCAATATTTCACACAGTGCCGAAGTGACCAGGTACAGATGCAAAATTTGCAAGGAAACCTTCGGCCGCCAGGAAAACTATGATCGCCATCTAAGAACGGCACACCAATTTTACTACATTGGACCAGAGGTGATGAAAGACACCACGAGGGGAAAAGGCGGCCAAACCAATGCCGTGGGAAAAAACTGCGGAAGCACTGACCAAGCAGCAATTGGAACAAGCTAAATTTAGGACACGGCCCGCGACTACATTAACAAAAGTCAGCCCAACTTCAAACGCAAGACCTATTGTAGAGAAAGCGCTCGACCTAGGCCTATTAAAAGAGGATTTACTTCTGAGTAGCGACTCTTCCAGCTCCGCTTCAAGCACCATGGGAGATATAGTGGACTACAAGAACTTAGCCTAGATGTTTCTGCATCAGCCAACACCATATGCCTAGATGAGTGAATGTTGTAATAATGAACAATAGTAACACAGACGTTTTATAGATAAGCTTTATTGCACATATCACATAACATGTTTTATTTACAGGAAACTGACATTTTCTTAACATTATAAGATGACAGGTAATTGTTTACCTGCCCTTGGCCATTATTAATTACGTCATAAAAGTGTCCATTATATATGACGCCACAATGTAAAAACGAGCCTCCCTGAGAGTACTTCAGGGGGCATTTTCTAACATGTCGTTGTCCTGATGAAGACTCGCTTTAAGAGTCGAAACTAGTCGGCCAATAAAACCCACTAACCGGTAATTTTAATTTCAAAAGTATTTTATTGACAATACATAAATAATACAAACATATAAGTTAACATTAAAGAAGATATTAGAACAGTATTGACAAAAGAATAAGACAACAGGCTTTGCCTATATCAGTCTTCTTCTAATTCCGGTAGATATGTACAATGCTTAAATATATAAAATGTTGTGATTCGTTTCCTCTCACACTCATGCACACCCACACCCACACCAGTTTATGTATAATACTCGTTATTTAAGGGATAAAACTTGCCTGAATAACAATAATTATAACAATACATGAATATTCATTTGGAAATTTATCTAGCACGTATAAGTAACGAAACGTTTTGATGATTTAATATAAGAGTGAACATGTATAAGAATAGTTTTATTTAATTGGTCGGAGGCATTACTAATACCATATACTAAACAGTGCAGATTTAAATATCCTAATAGATTATAAATAGTGGTAATATGATGCCTAATATCAGAATACAGAGGGCATTGAAAGAAACCGGTGACGCCCGAGCTGTCTTGTGATTGGAACCCCGCCTACTATATTTATATTTAGTATTACAGACAGGTATTACACTTGTAGTTTAGTATCACAGACAAGTATTACACATGTATTTACAATCACAGACAGGTAATACACTTGTATTTACTATTACAGACAGGTATTACACTTGTATTTACTATTACAGACAGCTTACACATGTAAGTTCATTGTACACACTTTAACACACATCTACTGCAGGCAAGTTTACTTCGCTGTTCTAAAATACAACTAGCAATGAAACATGCGAATAGCAGTTACAAGAACTAATGGTTTATAATACACTGTAAACTACTTGTTTTATATTACTGTCTGTTTATATTCTGTATACTATTTGTATCTTTTTAAAGATTAAGTCCTGTACATGGTCTGGCATGGTATATGAGATATAACAGGACCTTGTTCTGAGTATGGCGACCTATCTTGACGTCTACCGTCGTACGTATTACGCCCGTTGTCCTGGGGCGGACGCAGTTACTGAGCCCTATCGCAATAATCCGATGAGGGATAAAGGGCCGGTGTCCTGTCACGATAATCCGGTGATCGGTTCCCCCCATAGTTTTGATGGAAACCTCGGTCGCGTTCCGGAGATAGGTAGTCGCCCCGAGGTGGAGGAGAGGACGGACGGGCAGACACACTGGCCGGGCCAGGTATTTATTAAGCTCCTGTAGTTCATCTTTTGATAACTTAACAGGGTCCTCCTCTACTTTGTCATCCCATGACTTAGTGCCCTCTGTAAACTCCACATGCCTACTAGGGTAATACCAAACAGAGCGCGCTGATGGGCCACCGATGCCTTTATGTATTTTAGAGTAGATGGTGTTGGGAGAATGAAGTAGAGCATAATAAGATAGGCGAAGGAAAGTCGACTGGCTATCGGAGGAATCGCTTGTGTTTGTTGACTCAAACTAGAGAGTCCAAACTCGCATTAGCCTGGAGCTCAACTGCTTGAATCAACATGTTGCTTGGAAATAGTAGGGTGTTTCGTTTGTTATTAGGAATGTCCTTATCGACTGGGTCAGTCCAGAGAAAGCGGTGATATGGGTATTTCCAGAGCAGATGATGTTAACAGTGAAGTAGGTATTTCCAGAGCAGATGATCTTGAAAGTGCAGTAGGTATTTCCAGAGCAGATGATGTTGAGAGTGAAGTAGGTATTTCCAGAGCAGAAGATGTTGAGAGTGATATGGGCATTTCCAGAGAGAATGGTGTACATATCAGCTTTCACCTATGATGGCTTAACTATTGCAAATATGCCTACCATTGGTAACAATGGCGTTGAAACGAAACACGGCAATTTTCAGTAACATGTCCATCCTTTTGAAATACTGAGAACAATATGCCTTCCGCTGTCGCTTTGGTGTTGTAGTTCTTTCAGCCCGGCTTCGACGAATTTGGTTGTTTTTCTTACTTTTGGATGCCTTTAATGGGACTCAACGATCCATCTCTTGATGTCACCAGATTTGTTTGTTTTCTGCCCATGTCTGTCATGTTGAGAGTGATACGTGTATTTCCAGAGCAGATGATGTTGAGAGTGCAGTAGGCATTTCCAGAGCAGATGATGTTGAGAGTGAAGTAGGTATTTCCAGAGCAGATGATGTTGAGAGTGATACGTGTATTTCCGGAAAAGATGATGTTGAGAGTGCAGTAGGAATTTCCAGAGCAGATGATGTTGAGAGGGAAGTAGGTTTTTCCAGAGCAGATGATGTTGAGAGTGAAGTAGGTATTTCCAGAGCAGATAATGTTGAGATTGAAGGAGGTATTTCCAGAGCAGATGATGTTGAGAGTAAAGTAGGTATTTCCAGAGCAGAAGATGTTGAGAGTGATATGGGTATTTCCAGAGCAGATGATGTTGAGAGTGAAGAAGGTATTTCCAGAGCAGATGATGTTGAGAGTGAAGTCGGTATTTCCAGAGAATGGTGTACATATCAGCTTTCACCTATGATGGCTTTAATTTACTTTTGCAAATATGCCTACCATTGGTAACAATGGCGTTGAAACGAAACACGGCAATTTGCAGTCACATGTCCATCCTTTTGAAATACTGAGAACAATATGCCTTCCGCTGTCGCTTTGGTGTTGTAGTTCTTTCAGCCCGGCTTCGACGAATTTGGTTGTTTTTCTTACTTTTGGATGCCTTTAATGGGACTCAACGATCCATCTCTTGATGTCACCAGATTTGTTTGTTTTCTGCCCATGTCTGTCATGTTGAGAGTGAAGTAGGTATTTCCAGAGCAGATGATGTTGAGAGGGAAGTAGGTATTTCCAGAGCAGTGATGTTGAGAGTGAAGTAGGTATTTCCAGAGCAGATGATGTTGAGAGTGAAGTAGGTATTTCCAAAGAAGATGATGTTGAGAGTGAAGTAGGTATTTCCAGAGCAGATGATGTTGAGAGTGAAGGAGGTATTTCCAGAGCAGATGATGTTGAGAGTGAAGTAGGTATTACCAGAGCAGAAGATGTTGAGAGTGATATGGGTATTTCCAGAGCAGATGATGTTGAGAGTGATATGGGTATTTCCAGAGCAGATGATGTTGAGAGTGAAGTAGGTATTTCCAGAGAATGGTGTACATCTCAGCTTTCACCTATGATGGCTTTAATTTACTTTTGCAAATATGCCTACCATTGGTAACAATGGCGTTGAAACGAAACACGGCAATTTGCAGTAACATGTCCATCATTTTAAAATAATGAGAACACTATGCCTTCCGCTGTCGCTTTGGTGTATTTCTTTCAACCCGGCTTCTACGAATTTGGTTGATTTTCTTATTTTTGGATGCCTTTAATGGGACTCAATGATCCATCTCTTGATGTCACCAGATTTGCTAGTTTTCTGCCCTTGTCTGTCATGTTGAGAGTGATACGTGTATTTCCAGAGCAGATGATGCTGATAGTGATACGTGTATTTCCAGAGCAGATGATGCTGAGAAAGATATGGGTATTTCTAGAGCAGATTATGTTGAGAGTGAAGTAGGTATTTCCAGAGCAGTGCTGTTGAGAGTGAAGTAGGTATTTCCAGAGCAGATGATGTTGAGAGTGAAGTAGGTATTTCCAGAGAGAATGTTGTACATATCAGCTTTCACCTATGATGGCTTAGTGCAAATATGCCTACCATTGGTAACAATGGCGTTGAAACGAAACACGGCAATTTGCAGTAACATGTCCATCCTTTTAAAATACTGAGAACAGTCGCTTTGGTGTTGTAGTTCTGTCAGCCCGGCTTTGACGAATTTGGTTGATTTTCTTACTTTTGGATGCCTTTCATGGGACTGTCAACGATCCATCTCTTGATGTCACCAGATTTGTTGGTTTTCTGCCCTTGTCTGTCATGAACCTCTTGAAGGCTGCACTTCTTTCTTCTTCAGTTTTATTGAACCAAACATCATGAGTGACTTGATGATGAACAAAGCCTTCAGCCAGGTAGAAGGATCCTTCCTGGTATAGGGCCCGTTTCACATCTTGGTACTTTACATTTACATGTTCGTAGATCCGGGCAACAAGTTCAACCAGCTTTAACTGCTTCCAGTCTGTCTTTACCTTCAAAACATGGTTGATCGACTCGCAGTTGTTGTTGCTCCACGCATTTGTTATCTTCCGTGTCTGCTGAGGTACACACACATTCTCCTGGATGATTGGAAGTAGTCTCCGCTTGAAATACTCCACGAAACTGGGCATTTTGGTCCAATCAGCTAAAGCATTGTCCATCCGGTATCGTAGAACATCCATGTCCTCTGACGCCGTCATACCATTGACACCGAAGATGATCTCTACAATAGTTTTCCTTTCAGTGGCTGTTGTAGATACCTGCTTCCAAAGGTAATCCTTGACATTGTTCTTCAGATGTCTAGTGCAAACCGTATTGCAGGCTGAAGGAAACTGGCGCTGGATTGCCTTCCTCATTGCAGTTTCATCATCCGAACCAATGGTCATCAGCGAAACTTCCAGCTCACTAAACTTTCCACTCAGAATAGCAAAGAAGATGTTGTATGACTCAAAGTCGGAGTTCCCATGGAGAAAAACTGGTCCAAGACAAAGAGGGTGGTCATCTGTAAGTCTGTTCTTAACCTCTTTGTGTTTAAAAACACGTGACGTGACAAAAACATCCCCTAAGTTGAAAGTTTTGTCAAATCCCCATACCTCTGCAAGGCCTGTTGAGCAAAAGCGCTTAACATCCTGGATTTGGTCAATGGTAAAACACACAACAGATGGTACTTTAGAATCCAAAAACACTACATCCTTCACAAAAGGGTGGTCTTGCGCAATATCGGTAAGAGCGGCAACGTTTTCTGTACATGGAAGGCATCCAGTCTGTTGTTTCTTCTTTGACAGCACACGTTTTCTTTTGTTCCGAACCTGTTGCATGGACATGGGAAGCATGACGGGGTTATTGTTAGTGTGGTGCATCCTGTCGTACACATTGCGAAGACCCATGGTTTCTGACAGTTTTCCAACTTCCGTCAGCACCTCCGGTATTGTTCGTCTATACGGCCTGCTGTTGGTCCTGGAAATTGACCGTAATACTCAACTAGCGCCATGTTGGATTTTCCCTGAAGATATTGTTCGGGTACGTGTTCAATCCAGGTCACTCTACGCTTGTACTGAGATGATTCCTTGCTGCAGCTGTAGTAGTGTTGCAGAATGAGCAAGTCATCTGGTCCTGGTTGGGGTATCAGTTGAGGGAAGACTTTCTTCTTGTTTTCCTGACGCTCCTTGCAAATTATGCCATTCTTCAACACCACATAGTACAGTTTCTTTCTGCCCTCGTCAATCAGGAAATATGACTTTGGTGATCCCCGGGATGTCCTAACCCAGACTCCACAATCATCCCAGAACTGGCACTGTTCTCCCGTCGTGCGACGGTCTTTGTTGGCAGAATTATCAATGATGAAGTAGGCATTGTTTTTCTGGCCCAATGGAATAGAATGCAGTGCAACTGTTGAGTCGGAAAAAAAATCAACAACAGACAGAGCATGAAGGAACTTGCCACCTGGTAGGTGTCCCATTGAAGGTCCATCTATCTCAACACATGGCTGGGGTTGATCTGGAGATGAAGATGATGGGGAAGACTGCTCGTCTGATGTAGAATCGGTGACGGAGGGTAAAGGTGATACTGGACTTGTATCCTTAAAACATTCTTGTGGCTCCATAGCGGCTCTCTCCTCCTCCCCTTCATGATCGGACAAATCCACCACTGTCATGTCTTCTTGACTCTCTGAAATCTTTCTCAGGGGAACGAAGTGGTGTGGCTGAAATTGATTGACCCTACGAAGTGCAAATGTCTAGGTCCACATAATGTTAGGGTCCCCATGGGGAAATGGTCGAGAACTCTGTCCTATCACTCTCCTAGTGAATGCACTTGACATGTTGTTGATAAGGTCCGTTGGTGGATAGAATAAATGAAGCATGGCTCTAGTGACGGCAGAGAGTGCATACATATGTAACCTCTCTGAATACGCTCCATAGGTAACTGCTGCGTTGAGGAGTTGCATATAATTACTTACTACGACATACACACTCTGTATAGAATCGATGAAATCGGGAGAGCTGTTGTTATAGTGCTGTGGATATGAAATCAACTACATAGCACTGCATAGACGAGGCTGTACGTGGTAGTCTTCACTTCCATACAGACTCCTTAAAATGGCTCGGTATAAACAATTTTCATCCCCTATTGTATAAATTGGCTGATGAGTCTGAAGAGTAAGTGGATGACACATCTGCAAAATGGAACACGAAACTTTGTCCATACGCCCGGAGAAGCTGTTGGTAATGGTATGCTAAAAGTGTCCATTGTCAAACTTACTTCATCAGCAGTCTTCTTTATGGTCGTCATTTCTTTTGTATCCACTGTTTTTTGTAACCTAAAATTTTAAAAAGATACCTCTATATCACACATATTAGAGACAAACGCCAAAATGACCATTTTAGACAGATAGACAAATGCCAACAAAATCATCATTTTTGACCTTATACAAGAAAGGCACTTGGTTTCAGGTTCTAATAACTTTAAATTACATTACTAATGATATTATTTGAAAGATTTTTTATTTTTGAAGATTTTCACCCCTATACTATCCATATGACCAATATCGCCAAAATGACCATTTTATACAGATAGACAAATGCCAACAAAATCATCATTTTTGACCTTATACAAGAAAGGCACTTGGTTTCAGGTTCTAATACCTTTTACAGTCAATATGTACAATTAAGTGTGATCCACTGCATATAACACAAATGCTTTCTATTAATTATGAAATAAAAAAATACAAAGAAACTTCTAAAGTGAATTTAATGAGTTTTAAAATGTATTTTCTGAAAAGTGATTTTTCCACAAATTCCTGCAAAAAAACACCATTTTTTCACTTTTATTAATGTCATTTATTTGAACATTTAAAAAAGAAGAAAGTTTTCATGCATTTTTGACCATTTTGTAACAGATTTAATTTTCGTATGTGAAAACGCTACACTAACCAATACAACAGTAACATATGTAAAAGAACTTTTTGAGGGCATTGTATTGTATATAGGTAGAGGACTATAATTATGTTAAGCAACAGACTTCACACTTTATTTCTATAAAACTTTGTGATATCATAACTTTACATTACTATGCAGATGGGGGACTTAAAATGATACAAATTCACTCTTTCATTAAGGCCCTTGGCTTTAATTTTAATAGCAAGCCAAACAACTTTTGATCAATATTATTCCATGGATAATCAATACAATTTAGTTGCTCACAAAAGATCTGTATTATAATATCCTATCTCAGAAAATTACAAAAGCAGCCATTGTGTGAGATACTTACACAACACTTAACTATGATCATAATTAATTATTTATTATTATTGTATAGTTTCAATGAACGACAAATCCTGTCAACACTGTGACGACGGTGCCGACTTCCTGTGCCCTAAAACACGTGGAGTTGCCGACCGAAAATTACTGAAATCTTAATAATTAAACCGTGTCAGTTGTGTATCTTGCTATAACTGGGTTAGTATACAAATAAACAAACGACAAAACATCATTGACTAAGCCCAGAAATTCAAAGATCAGTCCTTTTCTGACCACTGTCGGCAAGTCGCCAATTGTCGGTTTTCGTGACTCACTTCGGCGATCAAAACCAGTGATTCTGACGACATAAAACTATTGTTTGACCCAATCTTCCGTAACATAATAGAATACCTCGATATATATCAAGAAATATTCAATTCACAAGCATTGATGCTCCCTTTCGACACCTTTTCCTCTACTTTCCTCTACTTTTCGGCTTTTATCCCTACCGCAATATCATAATATTATTTACAATATAAATGAAATAAATATCATCTATTTGGCCATGGAGAGAAACCCTTCGCAAGTAATCTATCTCCTGAGTTAAATCCAATTAAAAGTGTTCGATGTTGGGATTTTAAATAAATTCTATAAGAGTTTGTTAGTTGTTTTCAATAAACAGTGGGCCTCCGGTTACCGCAGAAGCAGATTAATAACATGACATCGCATAATAGAGATCAACGTACTTGCCAATACCATTTATGCACTTCGCTGATACAGTATAACCCTACACAATTAGTGCAAAATGAAAAAAATGCAACAGAAAACCATGACTATATACTGCACCGCTTCGACTTTACCCGGTTTTTCCGAGCATGCCCAGAACAAAATACGAAACTTTGCATAACATGAACGACAAATCCTCTCAACATGAGATCAGTGCAATGTGCCACTTCGTAGGTGACGGCAGTACTTGGTGAAATGTGTTCGTATTTTAAATAATTACTGTGTTACTAGTTGGTAGTATTTTGTTTGTTTCATTAAATTGTTGATATGTCTTTGACAGCGATCAGCAATTTCAATTAATTTCTGACTATATGAGTACGAAACAGCGGTTGCTTCTTAAGGGCGCGGAAAACCGATGAAAACGAGGATACAGTTATCTGCCCTTTGTTAGGGGTCGCAACATTTCCAATCTCAGCGTCTTCCTGAAGGTAAAGTATACTACGACAGCTTAAGATATATGCATGGCAACTATTTATCTGTCAAGTGCATTACGATACTGAACATTGTGTTCTTTATGTGTATCTATTACAAACACGCAATATGCGGAAATATATTGAAAAAATTGTCAGAAATCCGGCCTGGCCCGTACCAATATTTTAGTTCATTTTGAAGTTGTTCATGGAGGTAGTAATTAATTTATGATACGATGACGGCTGTAGATTTTGCTTGAAACCCATGTATTTTCAAAATTCTTTATGATACTGAATGTATTTGTGTAATTATCCGTACACTATCTAATCAGTGTAACAGGAGTGCCAGACTGGGGTTCGAACCCAGGAATCTCCAAACTCTGAACTGAGGATCTACTAATTGAGCTACCTGGTTGCCGACGATCGACCCAGTCCAATTCAACTTACATTCCACTTCCTCTTTTTTCTGAGTCTTCGCTCCCAAATTAACAACTTTTTACAACCAGGTATTTCACTAGCTAGTACTTGAAACAAGGGTTGGTCAATTGCAAGACTTGATAAAAGATGATCTCTCTCCTGTATAACTAGCAAAGAGACAAATACACATTATTATCCCTTTCAAACAAACTATCGAGTTGATATATGTATACATGTACAATATTACGTACACTTTTTGTCATCGCTCTAGCCACTTCATTTCTCAACGGAATTTCATTTAACTTCATACAAGTGTTTGGTATGGCAAGTTCGGGTTTCAACGTTGAAGGACAGAGTCACTTTAATTATTTTTAGAAAAACTTTGTCATCATTCTACCGACTTCATTCCATTTCATGAAACCTCATATATATATGTACAAGTATTTTGTATGACAATATATAGCTTGAACAAGTTCACATTTCTGGCTTCTATGTTAGAGGTAAAGGTCACATACTATTTTTATTGATACAAAAAAACGTAACCACTAGCGCTCTAGTGACTTCATTACTGAACGGAATTTCATGAAACTTCATACAAGGGTTTGATATGGCAATGCGTTTCAGGTTACTGCGTCAATTTTTCTATATTTAGAAAAACTCATCGCTCTATCGACTTCATACCACTATAAATAAAAATATGAAATCAATATTCCTACCCTATTTCCCCCTGGTACAGATTGTCGAAGGTAGGGAATGACTGGACTCGGGCCTTAATAATAAGGTCACACTACACCGTTAATTTCACCGCCATCTTCCAAATGAACTTCATAATGCAGAGGAATTGTAAACAACAAGTCATATTTGTATTGTTTGATTCATTTGCCATTTATAATTAGGCCAAACAAACATATTGGGTGTTTCCGGTAACCCTACCAACTAGGGGTGTCACAATACGCCAACTCAATATATTGCAATACAGAATTAATATATTGCGATACGTATCCCGATATATTTTTATAGGAAGGATGTGCTCAATTTTATAATAAGTTGTTATTAGAATGTTATCAAACTTAATCATATATAATATGGATTACAGAGATTTAAGATTTTTGTCAAACCAACCATCGATAAGAAAATTTGAACTATTAAAAGCCTGTTTTATGCTTATTGGCATTTCTGTTAGAAGTTGTAGTAATTTGCATGTTAAAACACCAAGCAGATACATAAAAATATGCTTTTGAAAAATACTGCGATACAGCAATACAGCAATATTTCATCTCTGTATTGTGGTACAATACGATATACCCATGTATTGCGATACACCTGTTTTCAGATATATTGTGACAGCCCTACTACCTACCCTATTTTTGTGCCTATCCTAAACTTTTTGAGACAATTAACAAAGAAGCACTGTTAAAGTCAAGATCACTCTCCTATATACTAAACCACATAAAATCATATTTGAAATTAAAACGTATTACTTACCTACCTATCCTAAACAAAAATCATCAGGAAACACATTCTTTTGTCTGGCCTTGGTATGTTCACATGTTAACTTTAATTTAAACAGTATTTATTCAATATTCAAACATGTTTATTGCATGCATGATAACACTGGGATTGGAAAACAAGCTTAGAGGTTATACTTTGAATTCCAATTTAAGTGCAGTGTTCCAACATAACAGTAATTAAGCCATAGTTTATCACCATGAAAAATAATGTAGGTCTTTTTGAAAAATTGTGAAGTTATTTGCTATGGTGAATAAGATTCAAAGATAAAATTATAGCCCAGTCAGTAGGAAGCAGCTAGTATTTTATCATGGTGACAGACTGATACTCTCATAAATTATCTCCCTTTAGTCCGAGATTTAGTTTTGAAAGCTCTTAACCTTCACAAAATGAGCTCACATTTTCTCTTTGTCTGTTACAGAGATATTTATGTATGATTTGGTGGGGTTTTCATACTCAAGACGAACGGTCAAATTTTCTGCATGAACTTCTGTCAGAAAGGCAACCAATTTGTTGGATATATATATATAAGTTTGTGTAACTACAAACAACAACAACATCAACAAGAGAATACAGAGGTGTCAACAAATCCATGACTGGAATTATAAATCGATAAAACTAGGGCAAAATATGAACAAAGAAAAGATCTACATGGAAACCTTTGAAAAAGTATTCATGAAACCGTTCTCATGCTCAAGCATGAATTCTGTGCTCATGCCAGCTTTCTTGTAACCCACCTAAATCATGTCAGCCATCAAAAACTTAAATTCAAGTATTGAAAACAGTATTCGGCTTCTAGTTTCTTCAATTTTTGTCCAAAAGTTTAACAAAATCAGATTTTTTAAATAATTTATAAGTGGAACAAGAAATAAGACTTGAGCACAAAATCCAGGCTTGAGCATGAGAACGGTTTCATGAATACGGGCCCAGGTGTTCTAAAAGGGCTCTGCAACATTAGCGAAAATATGACTTGAAAAAATGGTATATGATATAACCTGAACACATTGTATGTATATATGTAAGGGATAAATCACTTGTTTTGTGTTGGATCAGCCAGTGAAAGCTGTACCTGTCAAGGGCCGAAGGGTGCTTTCGACTCACTGGCTGGTCCAACACAAAACAGGGGAGTTATCTTACTTTTAAACTTTCATCTGTGAGTACATGTACTGAGTAGTGCCTATTCATATACATGTATATATCTGATAGGTAACCGTTGGATAAATGAATAGCAGGGGTCGACACTAACGGTAGACCGGAGGACCGGGTCCACTAAAATCTTGGCCGGTCCACTTAATCTCCAAAGCTGGTAGACCGCCGGTCCACCACATATTACTTGATTAGTGTATATATATTTGAGAATATTGTTCAGAAATATACTAATAAAGACTTTATTTCCTTCGCCAGCGAGCCGTAAAATCCCATCTGGTTAAAAAATGTATCGTATTTTCGTGTTGTTAACCCGCTAAAAGTTGTCGTTATCATTCTTGGACGAGTGAAGTGCGTGAAACCGCTTGCGGTAAGTCGGAATCTTTTCAGCGTTTGAGTCGCTTGTGGTATAGTTTGCCGCTATTATAAGCACTAAAATGACGATGACGTCACGATCACGGTGGTCAACCGATAAATGAAGGTAAACTTAGCCTCACAATTTCGTGTTACGTTTTGATTTCTATCGTATTCTATAGCGTATATCGTTTAGGTGATCGTGTCCGTCGATTAACTTAGTATCTGTACTAGACTAGTACCGTATCGCCTGTGTCGCGATTTTTAAATGGCTTGGTTTACAACCACTGGCAAAAAAAAAGTTAAAAACTTCAACAGAACAAAAACAACACGAAGTTTGTATGGGCAACAAAAAGGATGATATCCTTTCAGGAGTCATGGAAAAATCGTTTACATGGCTCAATAATGATACTGACACAAACTTAATGAAATGTGGGGTATGGTGCACTCAGAAGATGATTCCGAAATGTCCAGGAAGGATTGAATAGAGTTGCAACAAAATACGTAAAGACTACTGTTGGGGCAAATTTGTTTGACATTCTGACTGTATATTGAGATAAAGATCATATAAAAAAGGTATAATACTATAAAAAAGTATATTATTTTATCCTTATTTTTTCATATGATCTTTATCTCAATTTACAGTCAGAATTTCAAACACCTTTGGATGGGAGCTATGTAAAAAATAATAAACAAGGAGAAAATTGTTTCATGTTTCTGTGTCATTTACTAAAACTTGTTCATAAATGGAAAAAAATAAAAAATAAGGAGAAAAAACAAGTATTTTACAGAAAATTAAAAAACCTTCATTATTTGTTTAAAACCCTCAGATGCCAGGATTTTGCATCTAGCTTTTAAAAAAATTCGGGGGAGGACCCCCATACCCCCCTCTTATTCAGGAGGGGGGGTACCCCCTCCCGAACCCACCCCCCACTCCTCGCTACGCTCGTCGACCGGGGCGCGAAGCGCCCCAGATCTGAGAATATTATTCAGGTCCACCAGAAATTAACCAGGTCCACCAGATCAAGAGAGCAGGTGGACCTGCGGTCCACCACCTATTAAAAGTTAGTGTCAACCCCTGAATAGACCACTACTTATCCAAGAGTCATTCAACTTATGCAATGGCTAGCTGTTGAAAAGGGAAGACATACAACTAGTGATACAAGTTTTCAAATAAATTTCTACATTTTACTTTACTGTTTTTAAAGAAAATATGTCTTTACACTAAAATTTGTTACTTGTAGGAAGACTGTGGTAATAAAAATGGACCAAATTCAGAATGCTAGTATACAGTACCACTACGCACCACAGACTGGTGAGCTGGTGGAAGGATTTGACCCTAGTGGTGTACAGCCTGTTGGGGCAATGACGGGAATCATTGACAGCCGACAAGTCATCTACACCACCAGTGATGGGGATGGACAATTACAGGTAAATCATGATAGCAAAGTACCAGTAGCTCCACATAAAAGTCATCATCACAATCTCAGTAGTGCAGGGTAGGGATCTACACTGTCACAGTCTCAGTAGTGCAGGGTAGAGATCTACACTGTCACAGTCTCAGTAGTGCAGGGTAGAGATCTACACGGTCACAGTCTCAGTAGTGCAGGGTAGAGGAAATCTTTTGCCAGTGTTCTTTTCTACACAACCACACACAGAGTGAAATTGAACTTTGTACACTCAGTTCTGTGATTTAAATGTATGCAAAGCTGAATTCTGAGTCCTGGACTAATTTCATTTGATCAGAAATTATCTTAGAATTATTCCGTATAATATTTAATAATCTGTGTTAATGTAATATATCACATGTGTGCTACAGATGATGTCTTTAATCTAGTGACGCATGTTAATAAAATCTGTATTGATATGTTTGTACCACTGATCAATGATATCTAATAATAACAGAGTGGAATACATGTGTCATGCTGTGTGCCTTCAGCGTGGTATTTCAGCAAGGTAGCATTCTAAAGTTAGCATAAAAACTGTAGTATCGAAAGGAGGCAAATACACCTACATACCACCTCCACACACATACATTTCACACATGGAGGCAATACACCTACATACCACCTCCACACGCATACATTTCACACATGGAGGCGCATCCTTTAGTTGTTAATTCCGTCTTTGCATATTGCAGAGTTATCTTCTCTTGTGAGCAGGTATTGATTGTTACGTCATTGGTTTATGTGAGAAAATTGCGTCTCTTTCTCAAAAATTGATGACGTTACTCTCACAAACCAATGACGTAACAATCAATACCTGCTCACAAGAGAAGATAACTCTGCAATATGCAAAGACAGAATAGGATGCTAATCTTAATTAACCCCAAACTGTGCTGATAATGTTATGGACAGGTAATTATGTAATATGATGAATGTTAATGCACTTTATAGGTGTACCACCATGATGGCAGCCAAGCCATACAGGGACTAGAGGGCCAGGACACGATTGTGTTTCTTGACGAAGGTATGGAGGTGGAGACAGAGACGGAGGTGGCCACAGCATCCGAGGCCATAGAGGCTGTCAAGTACATTGAAGAAGGTGGAGACCAGATGCAAAAGTTTATTATCCAGATGGCACCACAGGACCAAGAGGTCAGACAGGAGCCCCAACGTATCATAATTCCAGGTATCTAGGAATATTTCATACTGTCTATATGTGGATGCACAAAATGCAATCTGATTAAAATCATCTGTTACATGGCTCCGCCTGAACATCTGAATGTGCCGCGGTCAGGGTCACGTTCAAGTGAACTTTAGATGAACCAATCAGAGGCGCGCTGGCAAAAGTTTGCCAGCAAATCGGAATATCATTGTTGATAGATAAATAGCGAGGGGTATCGAACAGAATAGTTTTCCAAAACCGATATGGTGGCGGGAACTGACGTTTCTACGACGCCAAGGAAAACGCAACCATTGGGTAATAATTGCGTATGCAACAACGCCATACAGTCTTTCTTCTCTAATAAAGCTTCGAATATCTTTTTCTGTTCGGGTTTCAGACGATCAATCTCAAATAACTTCAGAACTTTCGCATCGTTCTCACCAAAGTATGCCATATTTGTTACAACTCCGAGCGCCCATTTGAAAGAGGGTCTCTGATTGGTCAACATTTAATGAGTATTTATAAATATAAAGGTCACCTGAATGTGACCCTGACCGCGGCACACTCAAATGTTCAGGCGTAGTACGAAGTTAACGAAGCCATGTATCATATGATTTTAATCAGATTGCACAAAATGGAACACTTTTTGAAGAAAATGTATTTCCTATTTAATTTTTGGAACACCAATGATTTTACTATAGTGAAATAGATACATTCATCTTTCTTTTTATGTTTTTCTTGGGTATCACCAGCATGTGTGTCTATTTATAGACTTCAGTTCGTTTAGTCAGGTTCACTTGAAAGGTTTAGATTGCTGGGTAACCAAAATGAAACACCTCGTCTTTATTGTAATTCAGTGTATGAACATTTGGATTTGGCCCAATGGCAATATGTAGGGATGTAAAACAGATATTGGCCTAACAGAAAGAGTGGGTTATAATGTCATTGCTAGGGTCAATTTCTCTGTTTACAAATGTTTATGAAGGAATATTTGTTTTACAGTTATGATTTTATTTTAAACACTAATAGAACATATTTTCTTTGTCTCATTGCAGGCTTGGAGAATTATGTAGTACAGTTGGATGAACAAGCCCATCGACCAGAAAATATCCGTCATTTTCAAAGTATACAGCCGAGAAGTGTATATCCAAAGATAGCCATTAAAGCTATTGAAAAACCAATGAGGTCGCAACCTTTGATATTGAAACCGCCACAGATTGCCCAACAAGCTGCACCCCAGCCAGTCAAGCCTGAGGCTACTGTAATCAGTAAGAGTGAAACAACACTACCGGCAAAAGTGGTGATTGACTCGAAGCAAGTTAAACATCACAAAAAATATCCAACAGCACAGAGTGAAAATACAGAATACATCTATGTTACTAGAACACTTACATCCCATAAAGATGACTCTCAGGATGTTGGAAAATCAGTCTATAACACCATTAAAGTTTCAAGACCCCCATTAAAACAAGTTGATACTAAAAGTACACCAGAGGCAACTGTACCTGTTATGTCACATGTTGAAGGGTCCTCTTCACAACCAGGAAGTTCACAACAGGTGGCATCACCTGAATTGAACCAAGAAACAGCACCAGCTCTAATCCAGATGATGCCACCAGTTTCAAAACAGGTGACATCAATGTCACAACTGGTGGCAGCAACATCACAACAGGTGGCAACAACACCACAACAGGTTGCAACAACACCACCACAACATGTGGCAAAAGCATCACAACAGGTGGCAACATTATCACAACAGGTGGCAACAACATCACAACAGGTGGCAACAGCATCACAACAAGTGGCAGCATCATCACAACAAGTGGCAGCAATATCACAAAAGGTGGCGGCAGCAATGGTGCCAGTGCAGGCCTCAGAAATAGATTCAAGAACGTCTTCACAACAATTACAGTCGCTGATCAAACCTCAAAACAAAGGACCAAGGATGGTGTCTGTGCTTGGAGCAAGCCGAAATATTGTCAGGAAAGATGGCAGTGTCTTTCCTGTAGATCCAGTATCTAAGAAGATAATTTTTGTACCACTTTCTGCAGATGAAGCAAAAGAGGCAGTCAGTTTAGATGAAAGTTCAAAAGATGTGAATTCTGATGATGAAGCATCAGATGTCAGTGATGAAGAGCAGGAACCACTGGCAAAGAAAGCCAGACCAAAATATGAAACTTTAGAAAGAGAGACAGAAGGCAAATGGAAGGGAAAGTGGAAAAAGAAGCCAAATTACAAGAATCCTAAACCAAAACGGCATTTGAGTCCAAAAGACGTGGCCCCACCACCAAAACAACCTGCAAAATACAAAAAAAGAGATAAATCTCATTCTAAAAGCATGGAGACAGTCACTTTAGATACAAATATTGTGATAAAGAAGGAAGTAGAAGAGGGGGAGAATGTCACTTTACAAAAGCAGAAGAAAAAGGATGAGGACGAACTGGAAGAAGAATTAGAGGAGAAGAAATGTCGGATGTGCCTTGCCCTCCACAATGCTGAATGTCCATTGATGCGAAGGCGAGTTAGGCTGAATATAAATGACAATATGAGCTGTTTGAATTCCACCATGCTTTCCCTAAAGTCACTCCCCAAAGAATTTGTACTCAGTAGCAGAGATGGACATGGTCTAAGTGTGTTTGCCTCGGACGTCATTGAGAAGGGCACCCACTTTGGACCATTGGTGGGTGAACAATTGACTTTTGAACAGATTTCACATAAAATGGACTTCACACATCTGTGGCTTATCGAGACAGAGGAAACAATCAGCGCAGTGGACAAGAAAATAATTAAGTACAATTTCATCAATACCGGCAATGAGATGACAAGTAACTGGTGCAGGTAAGGTTATCAACTACTGTGTAACATCAAAGGTTTACTGTGTGCATGTTTTCCAAGGTTTTCATAGATCCAGTGGAACTGTAAGAAATTATGCAGAGAATGTATTAAGGATTTCATTGATATTAGTGTAAACGTACCAACAAACGAAATTTCAACGAAATACTTCCGGTAGTTTGAAAATACAAAATCCTGAGAGAAAAAAACTTAAATCGTTTCATATAACTCACATCTCTGTAAATATCTTTATTTTCATGTGTATTTTATTTTGCAGACTACATAGAAGGATTTTTTCGAGAAAACTGAAATTCCTGAATGAGAGCAAGGATGCTATTCCATATTGATAGCAATTATCAATGAAATCAACATTAGCAGAAAAGTTTAGATATATGAGAAAAAGGCTCTTTGCAAATTGTCAAGAAAAATCTCAGATATGTGAGGCCCACTCTGAGTGTAATCTGGGGAGATAATGTGTTGAGCACTGATCTATAGTGTGTACTGTGTTATTTATTATAGATATCTGAGGCCCACCCTGAACGTAATAAGGGGAGATATTTGTGTTGAGCACTGATCTATAGTGTGTACTGTGTTGTTTATTGTAGATATCTGAGGCCCACTCTGAATGCACAGGAATGTAACCTGATCAGCTATTGTAAAAACGAGGAGATTTGGTTTGTAGCCAGGGAAGACATTCAGGAGGGTACGTTAGCACTGCAATGGATTTGTTTGCAGATAAATCAGTGAGAAATGTATGCAATAACGTTTTGCACACCTCTGTTTTTCAAATGTTATACAAGGCTTGTTATATCAATTAAATTAAAGAGATAACAAGTTCAATATTAAACGGTGATATTGTCATTATTATTAAAATTTAAAATAAAATATAAAAGTTTTGGGACTAAACAAAATAACCACCCTCTGACAGATAATATAATTATGCAAAGTACTCATATCTACAGATAATATTTAAAAGATTGAATTTGAGGTGAACTTTTAATGTAATCTATAGATGAGTTAATGATGATTGATATTTAAACTGGTTTCTGTGAAACCTGTCTAAACTGGCATCAAGTGAGATCATGTGATCAAATTCAACTGTTTATTAGTAAAGCCATAAATAGGGTTCATTTCTTTTTGTATTAATACAAAAGGAAATTTATTACGAAACTGATCTGCAGGAAATACAGAGAAAAAAATGATCTAACAATTCGTAAAAAAAACTTGAAAGAAAGACTAGTAAACTATACATTGTACCAAGTGCACCATGATCTACGAATGTATGACGAAAACAGGTGTCAAATCCTAAGAGAAATTTTTAAAGGAAAACTTTGTGAACTAGACATTGTACCTACATGAGAAGACACACTAAAAGCAAACTTGACTCACAAATATTTCAATTTGCAGGTGAAGAGATGATAATGTATTTCCGCTTCATCGAGGATCTACATAATGAGCTATGGTTTGCTGACTTGTGTAACCGTACCCAGAAGCTGTGTAAGAGGTGCGATGTGGTCTACACAAACCTCGTCAGCTATGTGAAACATGTTCAGGTGTTTCACCCATACTCGCTGAAAAAACTCAAGGCCATCTGCAAGGTAAGTAGAAAGCGCAGCTCAGGTCACAGATTCTTATCTGTGTCAACCTGTGTAAAAGACAAAGACACAGTGATGAACTGATCTTTATAACAACATGATAAAGCTTGATAAAGCTCTAAAAAAAGGTTGACCACAAAAAGCCCATAAAATGAGTAGAAGGCCCTAGAAAACCAAACATTTATTGAAAATAATTTGAAAGTGTCAAATGCATAGAATTTTACTTAATTATCAGTTGATTATTAATTTTGTGGGTTAAAGAAGTATTTCTTGTGAGATAATTTCCATATTAGATTTTAGCATTTCACATATTTGTTATTGTCAGGCTAGGGGTTGCAGTGCTAATAGTTTTTTAAAAGGCTTCCTTTTTACTGAGAGAAGCCTTAAAAAGGCATTGAATTTCATAATAAAATGTCTGTGCGAATCCTTATACAATTGTAGCACATGCCTATGGAGATAAATTAATATCACCTTACTTTACAACTTAATACAAGTCACTTTTAGTGTTAACAATGAAATTTTACCAATCCAGTAAGATCGGTTTCAAGTTAAAGTGTCTGGAATGTAAAACAACTGGATCAATGGGAAAAAGTGAAATACATGTACCTGGTTCACTGTATACCAACAAATTTTCACCTTGGAGGGTGCAATGCAAAGCAAAGCGAAGGTGAAAATGAAAATGCGGCGAAAATGTCTCTGTGTACAGTGTGATATATGTATATTAAAATACAAACACCCGGTGGTAGTTGGATAATCAGATTGGTGGAGGCTAGATGGATTGAGGCGTGGCTGTTTGTGTATTGTTGCATGCTATTGATTTCCAGTATTTATCTGAATTTCCTTAGTTAATTTTAAAAGCTAGAGGTTTAACCCATGCTGGAATTTTTTGCACAAATGCAATACGTCATGACAAAATCAAAGTTTGCAGTTTCCTGGTAGCTGTTTGATATTTGGTGTTTAAAGAATACCAATCACAAGGGTGAACCCTGTCGGTGTGTCCTTTGAGGGTGAGAGGAGGGATACCCGAACTCAAAGCCAGTCAGTTTTTCTTACAGTGCTGTGTGATTGTTTTGATGTACATCAAACGATCCCACTAAAAATATCCACAAGGTGGTGAATGCAGAGCCTTAAATTTTATTATGGCATATTCCAGGGTCTAGAGAAAAAAGGTGAACATAACCCCCAGAGATTTAAGCTTGATGTTAACCATGAGTATGTAAAAGTTTTTAAATTAATGAAAACTTTATATGTGAAATAAGCAGTATTTGATATTTCTTCATAATTGCAGGAGTGCGGTCTGGTGTTGGAGAGTACCGGAGAACTGACCGAACACTGTAAGGAAGCACACCAAGGCAACGGAGCTTTTGTTTGTAAGGACTGTGGAAAACAGTTCCCAATTCCACGGGGCCTTCAACAACATCGAAAGTTCTTCCACATAGTCGAGGGCAATTTTGCTTGTGAGCATTGTGGAAAATGTTTCTTCAACAAGTTCAAACTGCGGAATCACATGAGAAACAAACATTCTGGAAAAGAGTTCAGATGTGAGGTCTGCAAAAAGGTAGTTGGGTCCCGAAACGCCCTAAACCGCCATAGGAAGTCGCATACTGAAGAAGGTTACAAGTTCACATGTGATCGCTGCGGAAAGTCTTGTCGTGATAACAGTAACTTACGTTCGCACATGATAACCCATATCAAAGCTAGGCAATTCCCTTGCACAGTGGCAGGGTGTTTGATGAGATATGGGTCCAAAGTTGCTCTGCAAATGCACTTTGCCAAAACCCATCTTCTTTCCCCAGAACAGATTAAGGTGCATATGCTCAGTATAATTAATACGGAGAAACAGGATGGGGATGAATTACAGCAGGAAGTGGTTACAGCGCGTGTTATGTCTGGTACACAGACTGAGATAATCTATGACTTGGAAAGTGAGGATGAAGACGACTTTATAGATTGTTAGCTCACCGGGTCCGAAGGACCAAGGTGAACTTATGCCATACCGTGGCGTCCGTCCGTCCGTGCGTCAACAATTTCTTTAAACGACTTCTTCTTCTTAACCACTGATTGGAATTCAACTAAATTTGACTGGAAGCATCCTTAGGTGGTGGGGATTCAAAATTGAGCAAATGGTTGGGCTAACCCCCAGGGGGCTAAGGGGCGGAGCCAAAAGGGGTCAATTTGGCTATATTGCTTTAAGCGACTTCTCCTCTGGAACTAAGAGATGGATATCAACCATATTTGATTGGAAGCATCCCTAGGTAGTGGAGATTCAAAATTGTATAAATGGTGGGGCTGAGGGGCGGGGGCAATTTGGCTATATTGCTACAAACTACTCCTTCTGTAGAACTATGCACTGGATATCAATCATATTTGATCAAAAGCATTCCTGGGAGGCAGGGATTCAAAATTGTACAAATGATGTGGCTGACCCCCAAGGGGGCTGAGGGGCGTGGCCAAAAAGGGTTATGTACATGGCTATACTGCTTTAAGCGACTTCTTCTCTGGAACTAAGTGATGGATATCAACCATATTTGACTGGAAGCAGCATCCCTAGGTAGTGAGTATTCAAAATTGTACAAATGGTGGGGATGACCCCCGGGCTAAGGGGTGGGGCCAAAAAAAGTTTATTAATTGGAAATGTTTGAGATCCCCACCATATAAAGAGAGGAATGCACATTTGCTTTCAGGATGGCCCTAGGGTCTGGCCCCACCCTATGAGACATAGTCCCTGGGTCATAACTTTGAAACAGTTGAGATCCCCACCCCAAAGCTATATATACAAATAATGGTCCTAAAGAGACGAATGTAGTCATGGTATTAGAATAGACCCTGGGGTCTGACCAAACCCCTAGGGACCTAGTTTCTTAGTCACAGCTTGGAAACAGTTGAGATCCCCACCCTATAACCATATATACAATTGCTGAGTATAAAGAGATAAATGCACATATGCTTCGAGGATGGCCTTGGGGTCTGCCCCACCCTTGGAGACTTAACCCCTGGGTCATAACTTTGAAATGGTTGAGATCCCCATCCCATAATTATAACCATACTAATATTAGATATCCAGGTGAGCGATACAGGCCCTCTTGTTATTGAAAGCTGTTTACACCACACTGTAGATATAGGGATAGATGATTACAAATCTCTATCTGGTTGTGTATCTGGAAATCAGAAGGAGACGAGCAATATATGATTTGATATGGCTACTTCACCACCAGGCTGCAGCCTAGGCCCAGTTATTCTAAGGCCTGGTTAGTAAATAAATTAATACATCAGTTCGCAAATTTTCAAATTTTGAGAATTCTTTGAAAAATTATTACCGTTAGTATTTCGTTTTGTATTTCCTTCATAAGTGAATTTGAAACCATTGCATTCTAATCTAATTGCTTAATTATTATTTTGAATGTGTACATCATGAAATATATGTGTTGAAATCTCATCAAGCTAACAATACTTTGAACAATTTGCCCAAGATAATGAAGAGAGTACCGATAAATCACTGTTTAAAGGAGATTATCAAAACAACACAACTTTCATGTGTAAGGATTCATTGCAACATATTTGAGCTCACTTTTTTTTCAAGAATTATTGTTTCTACTAAATGAAAGGTGAAACTATGAATTGAAGACATTTGTGTTTTACATTCATACTTTTACAAATTTACACATATGTAGCTTAAACAGTATTGAAAGTCTCAGGGTGGCTAGGGTTTCAGCTTCATTACAATGTTCTAATTACATCCAGTGTTTTAAGAATGATAAAATATATCTTGTGTATTGTTGTTGAATAAGTTGTTCATGTTGTAGGTATATTGCAGCTGAATATTAAATAAAATTTCCAGCTGACTGTGTTAAGTATTAACATAATAAAATATTAAATTAAATTCATCGTTTAAATTTTGCTGTTTTCATATATATAAACTGTTTAAATTATTTTATTTTTTTCCAGATCATGAAAAATCTTCCAAGATAAGCAATGGCACACTGTCTATTTAGACAACATTAAAAATCAACATTTTTTTCGGGACCAATAGCACTACAGGATCATAAGCAAAGGTGTTTTTTTTAATTCAAGAAATGTGCTTGGGAAAGCTGTTTGCAGAAAAATGGATGACAAATTCAGAATCCAATGTTAAACCAGAGATCCATTATAGAGTGATCTTGGCTCCCACAGTCATACTGTCTTCATAGACTTATCCTCTCTCTTCTTTTCTTTTATCTTCTGTTGGATTGAGTCGTGTAAAAAGTTGATGCTCCTTATGGTAAATATTGATCAGAACAGATACTGCTATGTTTGACATTGCTCTTTCAAAGGGAGGTGGTTGTTTGGCCTATTTACTAGGACTACTTAATCTGTAACAAGCGGAACCTTATTTTGAAATTTGAGAAAGATCTGCCTGGTGACCATTTCTTTTTTCTGATCAGCCTTAAGATGAAACATGCACAACTTAGGACCTATGAAAATCAACATGCAAAATTGGATAAAGCTCTGTTGAGTAGCTTTAACTAGTGTCCTATTTGTCAAAAAATTTCATATACATAACTAAGGACCATGAGGAATATTCATACGAAATTTAAGAAAGATCCTTTCAGGATTTTCAGAGAAATAGTGCTAACAAACTAAACTATCAAAATTCAAGATGGCTGCCTCTCAGCCATCTTGTTTTCCAGTCTGATCCAATATTTGATGTTCATAAATAAGACCTTGGGGAACCTTCGTGTGAAATTTGAGAAAGATTCCTTCTGTACTTTCTGAGGAAAAGCTCTAACAAACTCTTAAACTCTCATCATTCAAGATGGCCACTTGTCAACCATCTTGATTTTCTGATCACACCTAAAATTTGATATGCATAACTAAGGACCATGCAAAATTTTCTTGTGAAGTTTGAGAAAAACTCTTCAGCAATTTGAGGAATAGGGCTAACAAGTATTGTTTAAGGACAGACTACAAATGAAGGGCGATATATAAAGCCCTTACGGTAAAAAGATTACCACACTGAGTACATATTTTTTTTCATGACTTATTACTCCTGTGTGAGATAGACAGAGAAATAGCAACTCAAAGAGTACTGGAGTTAAGCACAATGATGAGTCAAACAGGAATAATTATTTTAAACACTTTTCTACCCAAGTAAAAAAGTTAGTGAACCCAATGCACTGTGCCATCATGGTTGAAAACGTGCGACTAAATTCATGGTCTGACCTTTGTTATGCTGCTTTAAGAAGGAGGATAGGTAAAGGCAGATTTTTCTCTCATTTTCCGTATGTGTAAGATAGAGCTGTCCAGGGTGAGAAAGGGGTGTAAAAAAATTCTATCTTGCACCCTGTTTCATGTGACGTGATATCACAATTGCTCAGCAATGACGGGACATCACAGATTTGGAAAAACTCCGACGCCACAATGCTAAAAGGAGACTTGATGAAAATAAAACCTTTTACAAAAAATTGACCGTACAAATTAAAAAGATTAGGTTATTTTTTTCTGAGCAAACTTTGTTTGCAAAAATGGGGTTTGCTAAATCTTGATGACAGATTTGTTTTCAGAAAAAAAGTAGCCAGTCCAAATGCATTTTCATGGTTTCTGAGCTTATTCTGGTAGATGGAATGAGAAGAACATACTCTTTCATGTCTAGGGGTGTAGGATAGGGAAATTCAACCATCAGGATTCCCAAATTTGTCAAAACCCCCAGCAAAGCCTCAGGTTTTACCAAATTTGAATTTTTTTAACAAGAGCACCGCGAGCAGGAGCACTATATACCTGTCGGACCCTCGGAAGGGCATATTGATATATTGGATATTGGAAGCAGGTAGTGACATCTATGATATAAGTGTGTTTACTGGCATCGTTTTGTTGGTGACTGTGACTTAACTGGAACTCAACAGAACAAGAGGCCCATGGGCTTTAATGGTCACCCGAGTCCTAACTTATTTATTTTTCTTGTTGAAATATGAAGTGGAGATAATGATGTGAATCGTCCATACCAATTTGAGTAAAAAATAGTTAAGTATAACGTAAAGTTAAGTTAGTCAGGACCATGAGTTGATCATTCCTAAACCGACTTTCAGTTAAATCGGCCTATTAGAACTTGAATTTAAGTTTGAAATAGTTTTTCTTCAAAATGGCGGCTGAAGCAGTCATAATGGATTTTTGATCAGCCCAAAAAAAAAGAACACTTTGCAAGGACCATGAGTTGATCATTCCTACCAAGTTTAAGTTCAATCGGCCCAGTGGAACTGGACTTTAAATTTGAAATAATTACTTTCAAAATGGCGGCCATATTGAATTTCTGATTTTCCCAAAAAATAACAACACTTGAACAAGCAAAAAATAACAACCATGAGTCGATCATTCCTACCAAGCTTCAGTTAAATACGCCCAGTAGACCTTGCGCTTAAGTTTGAAATAGTTTTTCAAAATGGCGGCCATATGGGAATTCTGATTAACCTGACAAATAACAACACTTTGTGAGGACAAAGAGTTGATCATTCCTACCAAGTTTCAGTTAAATTTGCCGAGTAGAATTTGACTTTTGAGTTTGAAACATTTTTTCAAAATGACGGCCATGGTGGCCATATCGGATTTCTGATTGACCCAAAAAACACCACCACTTTGTCAGGACCTTAAGTCGATCATTCCTACCAAGTTTCAATTCAATCGCCCAGTGGAACTGGACTTTAATTTTGATATAACTTTCAAAATCGTGGCCATATTGGATTTCTGATTGATCCAAAAAATAACAACACTTTGTCAGGACCATGAGTCAATCATTCCTACCAAGTTTAAGTTCAATCAGCCCTGTAGAACTTGACTTATAGTTTTTAATAGTTTTTCAAAATGGCGGCCATATTGGATTTTTGATTGACCCAAATAACAACACCACTTTGTCAGGACCTTAAGTCGATCATTCCTACCAAGTTTAAGTTCAATCGGCCAAGTGGAACTTGACTTTTAAGTTTGAAATAGGTTTTCGAAATGGCGGCTGTGGTGGCCATATTGGATTTCTGATCGACCCAAAAAATAACAACACTTTGTCAGGACCATGAGACGATCATTCCTACCAAGTTTAAGTTCAATCAGCCCGGTAGAACTTGACTTTAAGATTGAAATATTTTTTCAAAATGGCGGCTGTGGTGTATTTGGATATTTGATCGACCCAAAAAATAATAACACTTGGTCAGGGAGTTGTCAGTAACATTCCCGTGAAGTATCAATGAAATCCCTTTGACGGTATTTCAGCTTAAGTTGACAGACACTGCACCCCATTCCATAATACGACCCGTAAAATAACACCAAAAAATAGTTTTTTTTCAAAAATAATTTATTTAAAAAACGACATATCATGAAGGACAATAAAGAAACAAGAGCTACCACTTGGTGATGAAATTGATGTGTTCTAACCAGAACTCACTTCCGTGTGTTTATGTCTAGCCAAGGTGTTACGCCATGTATATGCGTTGGTATACAGCCGTCACAGAGGATGACTTATTTACTGTACACGAATTGTGAATAATATACTCATCATCACTGTACACCAATTGTGAATAATATACTCATCATCACTGTACACAAATTGTGAATAATATACTCATCATCACTGTACACGAATTGTGAATAATATCCTCATCATCACTGTACATGAATTAAAACATTTGACACAATTGAGAGTACCACAACATGAAGACTTAGTAATGTACATTTCTTCACTGAAAAAGGAAGTATTAGTAATACAGAATTTCCTTGCAAAATATTTTATATACATATATTTACACGGTATCCCCACAGATTTCGTCTCCAATAATAATAAGACAGTGAACAAAGATTATGTGATGATGATGGACAGACAGAAATAGATGAGATATGATGAGTGAAAGGTTATAAAAAATGAATGGTTCATGATGACTTAATTGGAAAGGGGGTCATAATAAATCTAGTCCTTCTGAAAATTCATCACATCAAAAAATCAAAACAAAACAGGAAGCAAAGGTTTGAGACAACAGACTGGGACAGAATAGTATTATAGGTAAAGATTGGCAAATACTATTTCAAAATCTGAAGAAAAATCATAGAGGGTTTAAGATATGGTTCATTTAGTATCATGTACTGAAAATCATAGAGGATTATGGTTCATTTAGTATCATGTACTGAAAAATCATACCATACCTGTAATATTCTGAGAGTATTGCTATCTTAAATGTAACTGAAAAACTACCCCTGAAACTCTTTCGATCTGCATAAGACAAAAATGCTTGCAATGATAAACTGGTCCTTCTGAATAATTTGATATAGTCAAGGGAGATAACTGAAATAAAATTACAGTACAATATGTTTGGTGGCATTTGTTCAACAGCCATGGTTTCACTCAGCTTTCAGATTCCCTGCCCCCACCACTACAATGGAGACATAACACGACTGATCTATAATCAAGTCTTGGGTTGTATTATTGTTCTAAATGATGGAGCTGGCTCAACAATATGCTAATGCTGCAGAATTGATTTGAAAAGTATGAAAATTATTGTTCTTAATTTTTCTTTTTTTTTAAGAAAACATGCATGTCCAGTTGTTGTTGTTGTTGCAAGTTTATGAAAAGTAAGTTATTTCAACCAAAACATTGATATCTACAAAGAACAACAATCAATATTATCTGTACAATACATTTCATGTGTCAGCATAAAGATGCAAGTTAAATGGTCAACATATCTATACACTGTACAGGTATAAATCCTTTAACCCTTTTTACCCCTGAAAACCATAATGGACTTATCCATATCAAAGCATGGGAGAGTCTACTTAAGTTGCATAGGGATGAAAGAGTTAATAATGGATTTACAAAAATTTCAATGCAAGTGAAAATAATCAATAATGACTTGTTTGATTTTCAATTAATTACAAAGAAGGCCATTGTTATTTGATACACATTATGTGCAAATGTCGTTAATGGAACAGAAATATGATGTTGCTTTAGTCTATGAGAGAAAAATTACACAGTTGCTAATAGTGATAGGAAAATATGTGGGAGATATTGATCATTATTCAAGCACATTACTATGAAATCAGATATTTTCATGGGGCTCAAATTCCATGGTTTCATCACAAAACACCATTTCATTGGTACATAAATTCGTGGATTACACGTACCCGCTCACTGAGAATGACTACATGTCAAACTTGTAATTACTTCATGAACCTATGAATTCGTTGATGAAGATCACCCAAGAAATCAACAAAATTAAAAACCCACGAAAATTAGTGTCAGATTTTACAGCAGATGGATTGACCATGTAAATCGTTGTCCCGTAATTTTAGCACTTATTTGTACATTTGTACCTGGTGTTCAACACTGATTGACAAGTGTTTAAAGAAATGAAAATTTCAGTTAAAATTACCTTCATAAAACATGTTTCAATGTTATATCTTCTGCCTCTAACTGACATACATAGTATGCCATTTCTGCATATTCCACATATATTCTGCAATAAGCAAAGTGCCAACTTGACTCATGTGTGATCCGACTTCATGTTGCTTATTATTACCACAAGAATACAGTTAGTGTTTATGCTTTATCAATTAGGTAACGCTAATTCTACTGGTAGAACTGTTGTTGTCACCAGTTAGATGCTTAAGTTTAAAACAAACAGGAAAAATCTGCATAGTATATTAAACTGCGCTATATCTCTGGTAGCCTTTAACAGAACAACCTAATAAAAATCGATCTGAACTGCATAGAGCTAACCTTCTGGTATTTATATTGTTACAACCGTGACCAATACAGACAGTGTCAGAGGAGAAGTAGAGTCTGTTTACATATATTTCACAGAAGACTTGTAATGCAGCCAATAATGATAGAGAAATTTGTTCTTTGAAAACTCTGATTATGAGGTAAATGATCTAATTTTACTATTTAGGTAAATGGACTGAAGAGGTACATTAATTTTATTCAAATACCCTACACATGCTCTGCCACATGAACTGGTTCTTTTTGACCATTGAGAGGTATATGTATGTATCATTAAGTCAAATTCAACAGTGACAAACTGTGCAGGACCAACACACTGTTCCATGTTCCTGGAGAGCACAAATCAATGTTCAATATTCCATCTAGCACATTTTTCATTTTTTGATCAAACACACAATCAAGTCATTTCTGTACAATTTCTGTCATTTTCTGTAGGATGTTCTTTGGTATGTTTCCTTCTGTAGACAAATATCCATGCTTTGTATTTCTGTATCTGCAACAGTTTGTGGCCCCTTGTTAAAATATAATGTTAACATCCTCATAAAAAGTAGTCCGGCTGTGGCTTCTTGGATGGAATTCCCCTGGATTCCTAGAAAGAAAGAAAATCAGCTCAATTTAACATCAATTAAAAATCACCCAGCCACAACTTGTCATTGGTTTAATATACAACATCAATGATAGAAATAAGCCATGATTTTATTATCTTCCCATTTTAGAATTTCTTGAGACAAGCCAAATGTCTGTATACTATCAAAGACGTACAACCTATACCACAAACATCTGCTATGCAACAACCTAGCTTGTGATCGTTTACATTTGAGCTGTGCTAGTAATTTCATACAAATTCAATTTTCTGATATTTTAGAAGGTGAAAACATTTTTCAGGGTAAAAAGAACTGCCGATTTTTAATTTCAGTATTTAACTTTGACATATCAAGTACCCTGTACATTTAAGACTCTCTAGTGTTCAAAATTAACCTTCTCATCGAACTCTTGCATTCAAAAACTATCAGAGGGTGTTTATTTGATACTGTACATATGAAGTTTTAAATCACACCAAAAAGTTTGCTATACTCACTTGTGGTGCTGCTTCAAATATTGTGAAATCTCGCTGTAAGTGTTCGTCTAATTCTAATATTGCTGCTACATTACCGCATCTGAAAAAAGTCATTGGAACATTATTTAAGTAAAACATATTAGGCCAACAAAGAAATGCTTTATCTTGAATAAATTCCAGTAAAATGTTAAAGAGCACAGGGAAGGAAGGGAGTTCTCAAAAAAGCTGTACTTCTGTGTAACTATTTGTACCACACATGCTAACTAATGTAACTATGTATTGCATCATATATGTTAATACCTATATATATGTATATATATTGTAATTTACCTAGTGATACTAGAGATCCATATCAGAAGAAGGCCTTGTAAATAAAGAAAAAAAATACCCAATCCCTCTGATTGCTATTACAGTACATGTTTGAATGAAATACATTTTGTATCCTATGTCACCTGACACCTAATGGTACATATTGCATCATACAATACCGAGTGATGGTATATCACTGATAGAGTCTCTCACCCCAATCCATATCAACCTGGAATCGGCCATTTCTGACCTACATGTGCCTATCTGTTCTACTTCCAGTATTGTTAATAATTCTGACGTTGCTTACAGATGCGGACAGTGTTTAGTATAAATAATTAAAAAGTTATAATATAGCTATTTCCTTATCCTATAGCATATCAACCCTTGACCCATATCAGTCGGGTCTCCTGCTCCTGTGATTACTACCACTTACCTATAACAATAATTTGGCGCCGACCATACTGTTAGAACTGTTTCATTGAAGTGCCATTTATAGCCTTCCATCACTAGCTGATGTGCTCGGCATATAAGGTCTATGTCGTTGGCGGCATTGAATTGTGCTACAACATCTGATCCAAACAGGTAACCAGCCCCTCTGGGACTCACTCCCCAGCCCTGCATATCTGTCAGGGCAAAAAACACAAAGGCATTAATACATGTGACAACTTGATACCTCTAATATTTTTTGTATAATTTTATGGGAATGTTTATGTCAAAACATTGCTGTACATTTGTAGAGTTTTGCAAAGTGGAAAAACATGACTATAAATCAGCATTACAGTATAGTTTTTTATGTTAATATATCATTTGTAAAGATAACCATGAATATGAATTTGTAATTATGTGTGAAACGAGTGTAACTTTTTGTTGGCTAATGCTTCACATATAAAACGGAACTTTTAATGCAATTAAACCATTAACATCTTACAGACCATCAATATGAGATGGATAATCAGAGTCCAACAGTGATAGAAAAATGATGGGTGTCGATCAACACTTGGAGAAATACAAAGCAGAAGAAATGAAGAAAATGGAAGACGAATGACTTTCCTCGCAACAATATTCTATCCTTGGTAGCAAATCCAAGGGATATATCTTTTAAGTGATGATCAATTGTTTGTAAGCGTAAGGCCTAATGGTACACATTCCAACATGTGTACTGTAGAATTCAGGATGGTGATGTTTTAACAAAGACGATTTCTGGCGAGGACAATTTTGTTAAACTACTGTTCTGTATAGCTCCTTAGAGTCATTTCTTTCAAAGTCTAAAGAGCACCCTTCAAATTTTGTTTATGTTTTCAAATTGTACAAACCTTCTGGATCGGACCATAGTAAGTCACACATGGGTCCGTCGTGGGGAACTTCCTGTTTCCTGTCTATTGATCGTATTTGGTCGAGGGTCTGGATAGATGGTGACAACCCACCGTGTACACAGAATATCTGGAATAATAGCAAAGATTATTAAAATTCTAAAACAAAGATTATAATCATAGATATACAGATTATTCTCAACAACACACTATATATATATATATAGCTAGCATGTCACTTCTTTTCATTACAGAAATAGTAAAATCAGGTCTCAAAATGGAGCCCAAGTGAAGGAGAACCAACATCTTGGTTGTTATGATTTGTAAGTGAATTTCGGTGGGAATCTTTAATGGTACATCAACTCAATATCATAGTTTCGTATACATAGTTTATTTATCGTTAACATATTTCAGTTTGCTAGGCTAGCTGTCATGAGAGTAGTTCTGATGACATAAACGTATTGAGATTTAAAATTACCATCTTAATAAAAGTTACCAGGTATGTTGTACACTGTCATGAGAATAATTCTAATGACATCAATGTATTGAGATTTAAAATTATCATCTGGAACCTTTATTAATAATGGTCTTATCCCACACGCTACTTACCTTTCCATCTATGATTGCGGATAAGCTCAGGTAATCGAAGATCTCAGTACAGTATCTCCACACAGTGATTGAGCCATATTTTCGTAAACATTCATCGTAAAACCCATACACTTGCGTGATTTGTCGACTCTCATGATTCCCACGGATCAAAGTTATTCGGTCTGGATAACGTACCTAAAACAAAATCAAGAATGTTATAAACATTACTGTCAAGTATTGAAAAATAAAGTCATTTACTTATAAGTTTCTTATTATTATATTTTTTTTTTAATCAAGTTTCAAATGAGTATACCTTCAGTAACAGGTATAAAGTCTACCTTCTACAGAACAGAAACTAATTTTCAAGTTATTTTCCAGCTTATTATCTCAATCAAGCTGCAACTGAGAGCCCTACGGAGCTTCTAGATTAAATACAAATCTGGCAGCAGGGGATCTGCTGCTGGTCCCTTCCCTCTAAAGAGAGAGGTATCCGGTATTAAAAACAGAAATTCCAGGTTAGATCTTAACAATCACTTTTGAAATCATGAGTTTAATAGCTCGAGAAAATATGAAGGATATTTTCAGTCAAATGCTTACCTTTAATGCTAGAAGTAAAAGAAATGTCTCTACACTGTAGAAACCCCTGTCCACAAAATCACCCATGAACAGGTAATTTGTGTCGGGGACATCACCTCCCACTTTGAATAACTCATTGAGATCGTAAAATTGGCCATGAATATCGCCACACACCTGAAATATTTAAAACAGAACATATATATACATATATATATATTGCAACAATTCTGTTCAAAATTACTTAAATGAATAATTTCAAAATATTCACTTCCTGCTGAAAATTTAAAGGTGACAACTAATATCAGATCAAAAAAGTCTTTTCCTAATACTGATCAAGCCATAAATATATAGAATTATTAATAATATTTTTCACTTACATACAAGTCTTCCTGGTCTTAATATCAGGGAAAGAAAAATGCCAGGTCTGATGACCCGTGCTAGTAGGTTTAGTCAGCTGGTAAGTTAACATTTACATCTACTTGCTAGAAGGACAGTGCAAAATTTGTTATTGTATATATTACTATATTCGTAGCATGCTATTCTATAATTGATCAAATTCACAATGGAAAGACAAAATAGCTTAGTTTCTGTAAAAGACCATAATGTTAATACAGCTAATTCATTGCAGTGTGCACTTGCTGAATATGAATATTTTTGGACAAGTACATATTTACCTCCTTGCGAGTACTTTTTCAAATCCACTTGCCCGAAGGACCAGTGCTTTTGAAAACTTTGGTCTTGCCCTGATTCTAGTTTAATTTTCTAATTGAATTATTGAATATGATGACAGAAAGGCATGAAAACCTTCGTCATTCCTCCAGATTTTTGCTCCTGTAGTAATGCTCGGAATCTGTACTTACTGTGACTGGAGAGTCTACCCTCTGGACGTTACTCTCCTCTACCAGGATCTCCCTGGCTTTAGCACACAGGGACTTCACTTCACTCTCCTTGATGATTTCACATCGCCGTAGCTGCTCTATTTGCCTGAACACAAACAATTCAGATTCAATATTATCGCAACAACATAACTTCAAAATTTCAATGATGGAAAACAATGCAAACCTGAATGAAATCTCAGAAGCTGACAGAATATTTTAGAAACATTTTTTTTATAAACAGGCCTTTATTTATATCATAAGAACTTTGCATCTTTTTGTTAAACTTTTGGTTAAGCAGCTATCAACGAGTTATTCTAAAACTTCAATAATTTTTACAAAAATACTGAAATTTGTAACTCTCCGATTCTCAACACAGTACATAAAATTTACTATTTTATTTCATATTTGAACCGTAACCAAAATCTGATTTTGAGAACTGAGAATATCTAGTTAAATTAAGATTTATTTCTATACGGAGACCAAATCTACTTATATTGGGCTTGGAGAGTAAGGCTAGAGTTACAGTTGTCTCTAAGCTAAGAATATTTGATTTCTCAGGACTTTTACTTTTATTGCAGCGCTACATTATTAATATATAAATACATTTTTGTCTACAGGGTAATCTCTGAAAAACAGCATGATCATCTCAATAAAAGATGTTTGTTTTCATTTCAGCATATATATTGTTTGCCTGACCTAGACACATAATGCTAACGCTAAAGAATTAATACATGTAGTACAATGTAGTTACTATTCGTGCCGTTAATTCACTTAAACAAAAGTTATCATTCAGAAAAAAATAAATTATGAAGTAACATGCTAATTTTTATATTAAACACAATTAAAAAATATATTGAAATTTCTTTTCTGTTTTAAAATGAACAAGAGGCCCATGGGCCTTAACGGTCACCTGAGTCCTACAGTATTCATTTTTGTTGTTGAAATATGTACCAGTTTGAGTAAAAATTAGTTAAGTATAATGTTAACTTAACTTTGTCAGGACCATGAGCTGATCATTCCTAGACCGATTTTCAGTGAGATCGGCCTATTAGAACTTGTTTTTAAGTTTGAAATAGGTATTTACAAAATAGCGACCATGGCAGCCATATTGGATTTCTGATTGACCCGAAAAATAACAACACTTTGTCAGGACCATGAGTCGATCATTCCTACAAAGTTTCAGTTCAATCGGCGAAGTAGAACTTTACTTTAAGTTTGAAATAGTTTTTCAAAATGGCGGCTGTGGCGGCCATATTGGATTTCTGATCGACCCGAAAAATAACAACACTTTGTCAGGACCATGAGGCGATCATTCCTACCAACTTTCAGTTCAATCGGCCCAGCAGAACTTGACTTTAAGTTTGAAATGTAAAATGTTAACGGACGACGGACGACGACGGACGAAAACGGATAGCAATAGGTCACTTGAGCTAAAGCTCAGGTGACCTAAAAATATTGAACATTTAGTAATGAACATGTACCTTTATGCATAATAACTGCATCGTAATTAAAGGTAAGAATGTGCAGGCTTATCTACAGTGATTAACAACTACACCCCTGAAGTTTTATAATGAACCATTCCAACCTTTGAATTGGAAGAGCTCAAATGTGTCTCCAGGGATCGATGAGTTAACAACTACACTTCAACAGGGAAGGGTTAAATAACGTAAACACTACCTATGTATATAAGTAATATATATGGTTTTGATATGTACATATACATGTATACGTAACAGGATAACAGTCACAATGTAGGTCAGTGGACCTAGGTTTGGCTTTATCTGTAAACACTTAAATGACTCATAGATAAAATGTGGGACATCTAAATATAGACCAAGAAAAATGAACAGCAGTCTGATAGATGTTCAATATATATTATAATCATGTCATTGAATGTAAAATACACTAAAAGGTAAATCATTTGTATTAAAATTTTACATTTTCAAAATATGCATCATTACAACTTCAGTTTCTTGGCAAATATATACTATTTGTTGAATATTGATATTGTCTTTAGAACTTTAGGTGTTTACACGGTATACATGAATGGCCTTGGCCTTTCATTTATTAATATTTACCTGTCCAGGTCGCTGAGTTCACTCATACTAGAACTTTGATATTGCAATACCTGGAAAGAAAAAGAAATTTTAAACATCAACATGAGTCGAGATTACATATATAGTACAACAGATATTACAAGTGACGTCCACACAAACTTTAACACATTCTTGAGGCTAAGTTTCAAAACCAGGTGCAAATTAACCATCAGTATTCTTTGAAGTAATTTATTTACCATTTTCGAAACATAAACAATATGTGTAACAGACTGGACAGTATGATGATGTACCAGGTATGTCAGTGTCATTGTACGTACTAGATATCGACCTCCTTACCCTAGTACAATACACATAACAATTATGTTTGTTTTGTAGTCCTACAATATGGACACAAACTGGTATATAATTTTATTTTGTATTCATAAGCAAAGCTACATATTTGTGTACATCGTATTGTACAAGTTCTTACACTGTATATATATTTTATATAAGATATATTTTTCATCAGCAATTGTACATGCACATTTGTATAAACGGAGGCATGCATATGCAGGCCATTTGGATTGATATGACTCGCCTGTGCCCCCCACTTTGACCATCAATGCACATATCAGAGAAACTAACTTTAGTGCAAAAACTTAATGTTGATTGATCCCGAAGATGTTGACAAAGTCAATGTACCATGAAAGGTAGGCCGCATCCAGCATATTTGATGCATGAGTTGAGATGTACGCATCTATGGTCTAAGTTTGGTTGGTCAAGCATTTATACTTTCAGTGAAACTAAGTTAAACGCCAGAAAAGCAACACCTTAGTCTCGCTTCTGCTTCTTCGTCGCGGCAAGACAAAAAAATAACAGGACAATTTATCAAAGAGTGTAATATTTTTGTATGAAACTGAAACCAATTACCAGCTTTAGGAAAATATTTTATAAAGATTAGCATTATAACCGATAACTGTATCGTAACTTACACTGATCAACCAGGCCAGAAACAATTCCTCATCTATACATACTCACTTTAAACATGCGGAAGCAGATTATATATTTATGCACTATAGTTCATCAGTCACAAATTCACAAAGTGGAGACAATTTTTGTTACATTATTTTAAACTTTCCAATTCTATCAAATTTACATGTGTATAGAAAATGAAGTATGTATACACTGATATCACTAACCTGTAGATAAAGTAGATCTGCTGCTGTGTATCGTGTTCTGTATACTAACCACTGGACATGAGTCCCAGTATTTATACACACAGATAACCATGATGATTAATGCATTTAGGTGAGTTTATTTTAAATATATATATGACATCATCCATGTGACTATCACCTAAATATCATGTAATAAAATTCAATATTCTAACACTACAGCTAGAATTTAGAATGATTTCACCAAGTTTATCATACTTTTTTTTATTAACTGTTATTATTAATTTGACAAAAATTGTTAGGATATTTTTATAAAGTAATTAATTATGATCATGAATCGCTTCGATTCGGAGAAGGATTAAAGTTTTGAGGCTTTTGTTTTAATGACAAGGCAGTCAGATCTTGTATCACAATTATCTGATTAATTGTATTCCGATTATTCAAAAATGTGTGCTTTCTGTTGTTTGAAAATTGAAGGGGGGGGGGGGGATATAGAACATTTTAATTTTAATAAAACACTTAACTTATATATGCAAGCTGGAACTTTTAAGTTTGGGCTGGTAGTTTCCAATTTTATTAGTCCATGCATATGTGCCAAATTCCCACTGACCCAATGACATTCAACATGCAAATTACCCGTAAGTAATATAACATTTTGACTAGTCAGTTGAGCTCCATGTTTTAAAACCACTAGTCCAGCTGCTGGTACACCATGTTTCACTAGGATTTCAAGATCAATGTATCCAATACAAAAACAGCAGTTTATTCCAGTACTTCACAAACAACGCCTATACTGTATGCAGCAAGATATTTCTAGTGTCAAACACAAGCAGGCTACTGTTATGTCCAGCCGTTCAGAGTGATTAAAAATGTTCACAGTGATCATGACAAACATTGAACAAAGTTTCAACTTTAATTATTTGATACTGTAACACAGCGCACTGATGTGCAAGATAATGGTCGAACGACACAGTATGGAGACTATGCACCAGTACCAACACAACAGCATGTACCATTTGCTTGTTTAAGATTGAAAAAAAAAATCAAATCCAATTGTCTATGACTTTGAAAATGTCCCCTATTTGGAGGACTTATAATAAACTATACTTGGGACAATCGTTCTCACTACTTTGTATCATCCTTAGCAGAACACAGCCCATATATTTGACCCTATAACAACAAGAGGCCCATGGGCCTTAACGGTCACCTGAGTCCTACAGTATTTATTTTTATTGTTGAAATATGTACCAATTTGAGTAAAAAATAGTTAAGTATAATGTTAACTTAACTTTGTCAGGACCATGAGCTGATCATTCCTAGACCGATTTTAAGTGAGATCGGCCTATTAGAACTTAAATTGTTTTTAAGTTTGAAATAGGTATTTACAAAATAGCGGCCATGGCAGCCAAATTGTATTTCTGATTGACCCGAAAAATAACAACACTTTGTCAGGACCATGATTCGATCATTCCTACAAAGTTTCAGTTCAATCGGCCAAGTAGAACTTTACTTTAAGTTTGAAATAGTTTTTCAAAATGGCGGCCGTGGTGGCCATATTGGATTTCTGATCGACCCGAAAAATAACAACACTTTGTCAGGACCATGAGTCGATCATTCCTACAAACTTTAAGTTCAATCGGTCCAGCAGAACTTGACTTTAAGTTTGAAATAGGTTTTCAAAATGGCGGCCGTGGCGGCCATATTGGATTTCTGATCGACCCGAAAAATAACAACACTTTGTCAGGACCATGAGGCGATCATTCCTACCAACTTTCAGTTCAATCGGCCCAGCAGAACTTGACTTTAAGTTTGAAATGTAAAATGTTAACGGACGACGGACGACGACGGACGAAAATGGATAGCAATAGGTCACTTGAGCTAAAGCTCAGGTGACCTAAAAATGCACAAAGATTGTCAGGTCTTTTGCAAGATCTGCTACCTAACTTTGCAAAAGCATCAATAACAGACTCTCAGCTAAGGAGGTTTTATGAAAATGGTATCTTATTGATGGTTTTAAGTTGTAAATGCAGAGAATTGTTATTTAAACACAAAACAGAGATTGAAATCAAGAGTATAGTGGCCATTTAAAAATCTGTCTCTACACAACAAAATCTAGCGTTTTTTGCAGTGTATTTTTTACTCGGCACCTGTAAATATTGACAAAAGGACATTGGATGAAGCTATGCTAAAAATGAGTATTTCTGTTACCGAGGCCAGTGATATTAAATTTTAGACAGATTTTAAGAAAAAAAACTTGGGAGGGGGGGGGGGGGGGGTAAAATTTTGGATTAAAAAAAAGTTTTTATTAGCATTTTTGGATGTGGTTTTCACTAGTCGGAAATCAGGGGAAAACAAAATGATTTCTCTAAAATGTTGTAATTACATATGTTTTATGTAATTTATGAATACCTGGATGTAGTTTTTATTGTGTGCAGGATGAATATGTTTACTGTATAACAGACCTGCACTTTATTTTAGGATAAGGTAATTTCTACTCTGCACTGCTTAAATCACAACTTTGGAGTTTAGTATCTTGAGGCGGACCCTCGTGTCTTGAAGACATCAAGTGTTTCAGCTGACACAATTTCAGGAGGCAATGCAATTCAGGCTTTGATGGTGCCTGGGAAATATGAAAACTTTCTACAATCATTCTTGCAAGATTGTAGGTGGAATGTCTTATTATGCATGTTTCTAGTTAATCTGTGTGGTGGTATAAGTCTATCCTCTTTAATGATTTTAACATGCCCATTCACAATTTTGTAGAACATTTTAAGGTGTGCATCCTGTCGTCTGACTTCCCGTGATCTCCAGGCCAGATCCTCCAGCACTGGTTCTACACTGGATCTACTGTTGAACTGGTTGCTGACATAACGTGCACCTCTGTGTTGGACCATTTCTAGATGATAGATATCCTTTTGATGGTATTGGATCCCAAACAGTTGACGAATATTCTACTATTGGACTTACAAGCGTCTTATAGGCATTTCCTTTTTGCAGGTTTGGAAGCGATGTTAAGGTTTTGTCTTAGAAATCCTAATATTCTGTTTGCCCACGTGTTAGTCTGTCCACAAATAACATAATGCTGGAGCTTGTGTATTAATAGGCTATGTATATGACTGACCTTGGTGAAAGCTTTTGAAAAATCAATTATGCGGACATCAGTCTGCTTCCCCGCTGACATGTTGATAGTGATGTCATCAATGACACTGAGTACTGTAAAGTGCTTTAGAGTGGCTTATGTTAGCTAGATAGGGCGCTATATAAAATGCTGTATATTATTATTATAATAAACTCGATGAGCTGGGTCTCACATGATAATTTGCTGAGGAAGCTAAACTGTAAGTGGGTACAGGATGTTAATAGTCCCTTAACGGGAACTAGGGGGGGGGGGGGGGGGAACTCTAGTTTTACGTTGTGTCCGTCTGTCCTTCTGCTATCTTGTCCGATACGGGCTCTGTCTTCTACACTACTTGTCACCGGAACCTCATACTTGGGGTATGTGTTCACCTTGGTGAGGTGGTGTGTCGTTTTTCAAAAGTAGGTCACTCTGACCTACATTTTGACCTGCATCAAAGAAAAAGTTTGTCCAGGCTATATCTCCTACACCACTAGTCACTGGAACTTTATACTTGGAGTATGAGTTCCTCTTGGTAAGGCAGTGTGTTTGCTACTTCTCTACCAAGTCACTTTCAAAATTTTGGACTTCAGAACTACTGTGATGGAGCCTGTGCACACAATGGAACCAACCAGATTCTTTGTTCTATGTGTTGTGAGATGTGTCTTTTTCCTGTGTTTTGACTGTGAGTTACCTTAAGATTTTTTGCTGACTTTACAGGATTTTCAGTTTCCATACTGTATGATTCTGATACATTTGTATGCAAATTTAAGGTGTTATATTTACTTCTGAATACAATTTACCAGATTCTGGTATCACTCTATCAGAGATAATGTGACCAATTCTAAATTTGAATTCGGTGAAATAACCCATTTAAATAAGTTATATCACTAATTCAAATCAGGACTGTTGAGTGTTGATTTTGCACCTAAGAATGGGTGATACCATTGATTCAACTTAGTGACATTGCCTCTTTGAATCTGTGATATCACTTATTCTTTTGAACTTCTGAATCCTGATATATATTATCACTTACTAAAATTAGTGATATTCACATTTATACCACAAAATGCAATCAAATAATAAAACACTGTATAGTACATAGTGTCACCAGATGCAATTTAATAGTAAACCGGTGCCACTAACCAGTAAGCATCCACCAGATTTATTTGCAATAGTAGCACTGACACTATTCCTTATTGAATATGGTGGGTCTGTCAAACATTCATATATAGAATTAGTTCCTGCACAAATTTATCAACGTGCATTTTACATGCAGTGGGGGACTATAATTCGCCGAATTGTCTTGTTCCTATTGGCGTGGTTCATAATGTGACTAATGTTATGATGTGTTCCATCAATTTGCAACAAATGCAGGTAAGCGAGATAGGTCGATAATTCTCAACCTTGTGGCAGTCGAGATTGGGGCTACAATTGCATGTTTCCAGTCGTTGGGGACCTCTCCAGTTTCCAGGGATTTTCGAATTATGATTGTAAGAAATGGTGGTCTGATTGTCATTTAACAAATTTGCACCTATATGTTAAAATCACCCGACTCAAAGTCTGACTTCAGTATTGACAAAAAATTCTAATGTTTCTTTTGTCTGATGAGCCACATTGCCTTTATATATATGCATACTTTTTGAAGTTCCCATGGTCAAAATGAAAACACAAAAAATGTGTGTATATACCCCCAAAGAGACAAAATAACTCTTCAAAATGACATATTTTGAGTTGTTCTTACAGATGAAATTATTGGATCTTAAAATATAGAAATAGTTAAGCAAATTCACAGGTTGAAACTTCTCAATTTAAGGGTCTAAAATCAGGAGTCTCCCTCCTTCATACAGAGAATTGACATGCATGCAAGTGGAAGTCAGCACATGTGCTAACACATAGAATATATAAAGGCTTATATGTAGGGTTCGACATCATTTTTTGAATGATCGACAGGCGAGGGTCAATGTAATTTGTCACCTGACCACATGGCATTCAAACATCTTATATTTACGTATATATAAATGTTTATCACGTATAAAAACAAGACTGATTAGTTTTAAAAGCTTCATAATAATGTTCTTACAATCATTTCGGGGCGGTTCTTCTACCAGCAAGTTATCATCTTATTCATTCTCTCTCTTCGAGAGGAAACACTTGTGTTCAACTTCAAACGTTTCAACTGATTTCCTAATTTTAATGAAACTATACGATAATCACAACAACGTCGCAAAAGATTAACCTGTAAACGTTAGGTGTATGGACAAAGAACACATATTGGTTACAATTAGAGGGAGCCTGGTCGACTTACCGAATCGTTATCCAAGCCTCCTCGCATTCTCTGTTGTGCGTCAGAAATTGGAATCTCGCGCATAATCGAGATAGACGATATTTCATGTTTCGTAATAAAATTAATTTAGCGTTCATTTTTTCAAATGAATGAAGATAACTTAATACGCTTTTGAAAATTAAATAAATCTTTCAGAAATGTGAAAAATTAACTTTGTCTTAAAACTATTTCAAAATAATTTTAAAGGCTACACTAATTGTAAAGCAGATAACGGAAAGGCGTCATCCGGATATTGCACCGTTAACATGACATATATCCAGAAAGAATGCTGATTCACAAAACAAGTCTTAAAAGTGATTTATCTTAACAAGCAAACTCATTTTTTGGAGAAACAAACGTTTTATTCATGACTATAAGATTATTAATCATAGCGGTAAAATTCTAAAGAGGTCAGTGACAATAAAGACAGTATGTCAGTTGAGGAAGAAAAAAATAAAATGCGTGACGTATCTTTTCAAGGCCACAGAACTGTCATGGTTTTCGAAACCCTAAACAATTCAAGAGCAAAGTGCCACCAATGTGATAGAAAGGGTGCATACATTTCAATACCGACAGTAGGTTGGAAGTGTCGGCAAACCCATCAAAAGTATTATAACGAAGTCTTTAAAAACCTGTTCAATTTTTAAAAAGTAATAGGAAAGAAAGAAATTCCATTACTTCTGAGCCCCAAAACATTAGTCAGTAAAAATAATTTTCAGAAGTTAAACGGTTTGACATATATATAATATTTTACATGGTGATACCCATATACTTTTCCGACTACTACTAAAAATACTAGAGACCTGTCACTGTAAACAAACTCAATGTACCAAAATTCAAAACTGCTATTGTACAACATTATGGTATGACTTAAGTGACAATTTGGGAGTAGCTCTTACTGTAAGCATTTTAAAGAAACTTTATTTGATGCAATATTTTGATAATGAGTAATAACTCTTTATCTTATATAATAATTGTTCCTTTTCTGTATTCACAGCATTGCAGATATATCGTTGTATTATCTCTCCTACTATACAATCCCGTTTGTTGTAGCATGTCGTGTTTATAGTTTCTCTGTTTCACGGGGCAATATTGAAAATTGTATTTATATCTAAATAATTGAAAATAAATAAATATAGCAAGGGGAAGATGCCTGCATTTCTTTTAATAATATTACAATTAATAACTGATTTCTTTGGTGGTGTTTTACTATCTCGCGTGCACTCACAGTGGGACATGGGTGTCAGACAGCATTGTTGAATCACTGAGGATCATGGAAGATGGCAATTGACCCAAACCAGTATGTAGAATGCTTCCTGATTGGTCTTTACAGGCCTTTGACTGCTTGCCACATTCATGATCTTTATCTCAAACTCATGACTCTGCAGAAGATCGGAAAACAATGTGTAAAACTAGGAAGGCAAGGTACACCAGACAGTTTATGTATCTGTACACGGGATTGAGTTGCTCAATACTAGGCCCTATACTATTTAACGCATTTCTAAACTTACAACAACTACGCAGAAACGTATTATTAAAATTACTACAAACAGACAGCGACACATCCATACATTTTGCAAACATATACAGGCAAGCACAGAAAGTTCAAATGACGATATCACATTAGAAATACAGCCGGGAAGCTATTCGGACAAGTAAAATTATTAGACGTTCAACTCAACTTTCACACTCATGTCGCGATATGCAAAGAGGCATCCACAAAATTAAGTTACTTATCAACATTACAGGAAAGCAACCAACGGGAGTAAGTGCTAGACAGTTGTAAAAATGTAGAAATTTAGTGTTTTGTTAATTATTATTAAAGATTGTAAGAATAGCGGTTAATGCGTTTAATTTATAAGTTTTTTTCTTTGAATCCCCACATTGTAATAATAATATAAGGAATAGGTATATCGAAAATATTAATGTTATGAATATAGATGGATGTGCCATATTGATTTACGTGTCCTACTCTTTGGACTAATTAAGGTGCCGTAATACTGAATTATTCAGACACGTGCAATATTGCATCCTGTCCAACAATAGATTTAAATCAATACTTATGGAATGGTATACACGGACTCGTTATAAATCTATAATCCCCTTCGTGGTACACCACAACGCATTGTTTTTGTTCGATTTACATGATCGACGTTCACAGCACTTTGTGTATTATATATTTGTATTTGCTTTCCTATTGGTTCTGATAACTCACGTCTACAGGCCTATTCTAAATTATAAAAACAAGTGGGTTTTTTTGTTACTTAAGTTACATTTTGATTAAACATAAAATATGTTCAGATTTACATTTTATCATGTTACTATTTTTACTGATGAAACTAAAACTATCGTTATATATAATTATGTTAATTTATTTTCAAGATTTCCGGATAAGTTTGTCCGACATACGGGCATGTCATTTTGATTACACGCTTCAGTCTGTTTACTGCTAATTTGCATATGCTATAGGCCTAGTATTTACATACGGCTGCAACAACAAAGTTGGAAACCGAAAGATGGGGAACATTCACACTGTTGGGCCCAGTGAGGCTTTGGTAATTTCAGGTAAGTTTATAAAAATGTGAAGGTACATTTTCTCATCGTCAACTGGAATGCATAATGGTAATGCCAGAAGACGAAAGTCGGTCAGTTGATGAGATTCCGGCTGACCCATCCATGGCTGTATATTTAACATGTTTCTTACCGTGACCTGTGGCAAATAAACATATTTGCAACTTAAAGTTTTATTAGGCATTGCTTATTAATGTCTTATTTTATATACATCGTTACTTTTGATCGATTTAACACAGTCGCTGCAGATTCTCTGATGGGACCCAGAGAGGGTGTGTCGACATCGGTATGCGAATCCCTCATCTGTAACTGGAAATATGTATCTCGTATTTCACTTATTTGGAGCGATCAAATTTCAGTTGTAAGCTTTCTAGAGTTCTTAAATTATTCGAGGTTAAATAATTGGGAAAATACAGTTTTAAATGATATTTTAGCATTAATACTTGCAAGTCACGGGAAAGCAGTTGCGCAATTTTCTTGTTAAATTTCAAAATACTAATCAAGCCTCTTATCAAGGATGTTAGCCTAAATAGATCGAGCAACGTATATTGTAATGTTGATTACATAACCATTGTGTTTTTATTATGATCAGATAATCATATAACTAACAAATAATTATTGTTTAGAAATTATGATTTAATTTTTACATTGAATTTTTCTTATTAAGGAAAAATAAATCAGATTTTTACTGTAACATGCCGATGTAATGTTATATAATGATGAGATGTTTTTATTCTGAAAGGTCAACTAACAAGTGAAAAAAACCCCACTTATTTGTGTAAATCTAAACTTAAGTGTACAGACTACAGTAAACTGCCAAAACTAATTCAATGTGCCTTTAAAAAAAGAATGTACTTCTGTTCATTATTTTTTCAATATCTTTGCCAGGGGTCGAACCTGGGACCCTGAGTTTATTAGCCTTATGTGTTACGTGATGGTGAGAAAGACATTTTCTCTAGATCTACAACTGTACTAAGCCAGTCAGTAGAAAACAAAACTAGTATTTAACCAGGGACTGGGTGACATACAAAATAAATATGAAATTACAAATTTAATTATCATTCAATTTTTACTGAACTCTACTGAATTGCAATGCACTTGTTACATGAATTATTATGAAGAATGCCACTCCAAAAGCATATGGGGCTGCAGTGGCAAAGTGGTAAGGCGTCTTACATTCTGCTACCACTAGCCCTCCACCACTGGGTCATTGTCATGAAACCTACGTGGGGCAATCGCCAGGTACTGGCCGTAGGTCAGTGTATTTTTCTCTGGGAACTTCAGCTTTCCTCCACCATCAATACCTGGCACATCCTTTCAAATGACCATAGCTGTTAATAGGATGTTAAACACAAACAAACCAAACCAAATGCATATGTTGTTCCCCAAATTATATATATTCATATATGATTATAATTGAATTTCCAAGATAAAATTGTAATGCCTTAAAAAACAATTATTAAGGTAAAGAAAATGAAAGCATAACAAAAGGAAAATTCAGAAAAATTCAGTTGCTGTGTATAAATTTTTTATGTGATTGAATTCGTTTTTACAAACTAATTCAATGAAAAATTGTAGAAGGTATTAGTGTGGCTGTGTAGCAGGTTGGAAAGCTTGGAGTCTCAGGTTCAATCCAAGTTTAAAGCACACTACCTTCTTAGTTTTACAAATGGTGTCTAGATCTGTGGCCCTTGTGATGATTTGCTAATTGGGTTGTGATGTTCAAGGCCATGTACACATGAACAAAAAGGGCTTGGAAGATATGGAAGTCTGTCATTGGTTCAGTCGACCCTGGTGGAGAAACACTTTGACCTGCTGGCTACATGTAGATTTATTCTAAATGAAAATAATCTTGAATGATGAGACTATTTTTACCCATGATGCTTAAATGTTTGTCAAAATGTGATGATGAAGTATTAGATTTATCGTGCTTTAAGAAATTGGGCTTGAGCACAAAATCTGAGTTTGAGCATAAGAACGGTTTTAGGAATACAGGCTCTGATCTTTGTTGACATATAAATGGTTAGTATACATATGCATGGACAACAATAAAGTGCAGTACATTGTTATTGTACATAAATCATTGTCTTGTGGTATTAAGATGACATACTAATACATTTTTGTTATCTCCCCTGTAAACAGGAGGATGCTGGGGGGGGACTGCTCGTAAGATGATTGTCGGCGGCTGGGGTTGGGCCTGGTGTCTTGTCACAGATGTACAGACGTAAGTATATATACAGTGTATGTGCATCGTAAAACTGAACCAACTCTGTTTTCTCAAAGTTTTCAATCAGTTGTTGAGTTTGTAATCAAAATATAATTAAGGATAATGGAGTTTGGTAACAAATTATATAAGTCTTAATCATTCAAAGTAATTGATTAGATTCATCCAAGATAAACCTGGTCCCAGTATTGATCCACATGTGTGTATTTAATTGTTAATTAGTATTTATTGTTTGGAAGTAATGAGTCCAGCCAAACCAGAATTCAACAATTGACCCTCAAAATTACAGACACTACTGCGACTACAGCATAAATATGTTTGTCACTGGCAATTAATTGTAATCCAGTCCTGATCCTGTACACATCTTATTAATGATTCCTTACAATTGGTTAATTATAACTTAAATTTTGTATTGCTTGTCCACCTAGTACCATCCTCTCAATACCCAAGGGTAACACTCACTTTCGCTCACTGCACCCCTGCAGGAATATGTAAATTGTAATAGAAAAATCAAACACTAGCTATTTGATTGGTTCTGGGTAAAAACTCCTGACCAATTGCTCCTTTCAAGATTACAGAGAAGCACAACCAGCTTCAAAACCAATCAATTTTACAGTAATGCGACTGAGATTCGTTTAATGTACATCAAAGCACCAAACTAGTCTTCTTATCATATCCACCAGGTGGTGCACACTAGTACTGAGCCTTCGATTTTGCTTTGACATGATATTCCAGGTACGCAGAGAGCGAAAGCGAGCGAAACTCCTGGAGTATCGAGGATGTCATAGTACAAATGTATACCTTGATAAATTACAATAAAAAACCACCAATAACTATGTATTTATGAAATTATGACACTCATACAAAAAATTGAAATATGTTGATCTGTTTTAACCCAGAATCTCCCTGGAGGTAATGACCTTGAACCCTGTGTGTGAGAGCGTGGAGACGTCCGAGGGTGTCCCCGTTACAGTGACAGGGGTCGCCCAGTGTAAGATTATGCGGGAGCCAGAGATCCTGAAGACGGCCTGCGAGCAGTTCCTCGGCAAATCTGTCCAGCACATAGAACATGTCATCCTCCAGACTCTGGAAGGCCATCTCCGTGCTATCTTAGGTAGGTTTTTCTGTAGCCAGACTCTGGAAGGCCATCTCTGTGCTATCTTGGGTAGGGTTTTCTGTAGCCAGACTCTGGAAGGCCATCTCCGTGCTATCTTAGGTAGGGTTTTCTGTAGTGATTTATAAGAATATGAGCTAGGAAATAGTGTCACTAGGAAATTCACCATGGATCCTTTAACAAGTACTGAAGTAGTATATATATATATTCTTAATTTATACTAACGTTGTTGCTAGCTTATGCATATTTTACATCTTTAACATCCTCAGCAAGGTCCATTTATATTTAAAGGACTCATTCCTAATTGATTTTCTTTTCTTTTCGATTTGCTCCTTTAAAAGTCCTAATTGGAAAATTTAAAAACATACAATGTAAATGAGTTCTCAAAACGCGTTATATGTAGGAACTAGGAAGGACAGAATGATCCTGCTGTCTTAAAGATAAGCTTAAATATAAGTCTAATGATCCTTCAGATTTCATCATTTCCCAAAACGGTTCTTATGTTGATAATTTTTTCCCCAATTTCATCCCCATAAACCCCTGGTTATAGTGTACATCAAAAAAAGGAGCCTCACCAGTAATTAACATATTTATTGCCCCAAATTTGAGCAGAGGATTAAGCACAAGTTATATCAACTTATCAACGGCTTTTTCTCTTAATACAGTACATATTGATATTTACATGATAACATTTAACAAGGCATATATAGTATATTTTACAATTATTATATTTTACTTAAAATCTGTTGCTGGATTTGATGAAAAGTTGCATGTGTCTGAATACTTCTGTATTGGTATCTACGGACAGATTTTCATTCCCGAATATAAACGAGTTTATGTTTTAAAATAGCGTAATTTGTGCTGTATTATAAAGTTTACATTCTAAGAAAAATGACCAACATCCTCACAGGAATGTCCACAAGCGCATGATGGCTTATCAACAATCTTAACACGGAACAAATCATTTTTCAAAGAGCTGCACTGATGCCTGAGTTTCGTATGTAATATGTTTAAATTGCGTTCGCCAAAATTATAATAAGATGGTGGAGACGAATTTGCACCACTGAATATAGCAGAATTTAAAAGTATTTAACGATGGCAATGTTCTTATTGTATTGTCGAACGAATTCCAAAGACGTAAACTTGATGGCAAAATAAGAAGAGTTGCTTGAGGAGAGTCTGAAAGAAGAAATATTGTAATCCTATTGGTTCCTTAAATTGTACCGATTCTTGTTAACCACTGTGTTTGGCAAAAGGGCCAATAAATAGCTGGGGGTTAAGTTGTTTTTCATTTTATATAAAATATTCAATTTTCGCCTTTTTCTCCTCTCTGATAATGTTTCTAAACCCATTTCAAGATATAATGAATCATTACTTGTATAAGAAGGCAGTCCTGTTATAACTCGAGCCGCCTCTCTTTGAGCTTTCTCTTATTTCTCAGATTCCCATAATTCACAGGCATATTCAAAAACTGGTAAAATGAAAGATTTACAAATTTTTAAAAGTGAATCTCTTTTCAAGAAGTATTTGAGTTTTCGTAAAACATTAAAACATTAATCTTTTTCATAACCGAACTATAAACTGCCTCAACATGACTTCCCATTTTCTATTGAATTGAAATTTACTCCTAAATGTCTATGTACGTCTGTAAAATTAAAAAAATTTCGCATCAAACATCAAATCCAAGTCGTCGTCAATATCGTTTGCATTTGAAATAAAAAGAACGTCCGTTGTTTTTGAGGATTAAAAGAAACCAACCAACGTTTAGCCCACTGATTTACAGATTCTAGGTCCTTGTTGAGAACAGTCTGTATTTCATAGCATGAAAATCTGCAAATAACCTGTTGGCCGAATCAAGTACATCAGTAATATCATTAATATATATCCAAAAGAGAAGCGGCCCGAGCATTGACCCTTTAGGTACACCTGCGTCAATATTACCTAGTTCCAAAAATGAATTTCTGATTAAAACTTTCTGTTTGCGCCTTTATAAATAATTTTCGAGCCAATGCAATAGTTCCCCTGAAATTCCGTACGCTTCTAACTTTGCTATCAAGCCCCTGTGCCAAACACGATCAAACGCCTTTGATATATCACAAATAATAATGCAGGTATGTTTTATTTCTTCTAAAGCAATACAAATATTATGGTAAGTTTCAATAAGTTGATAAACAGGAGAATGACAAGGCATACAACCTTACTGGTATCGATAAAACAAGCGATTTTCCAAAAAGTAATTATACAAGTGTTTGTAAACTACACGCTCAAACACTGTACCAACTGTAGATAGTAGGGGTATAGGTCTATAGTTACACGGCGTATGACAATCACCCTTTTCGAAAAGCGGCATAACAGTTGCAAGTTTCCATTTATTTGAACAACAAACGAAGAAAGTGACATGTTAAAAAGTATTTAAAGTGGTTTGCAGATGGAGTTAATAGCAGTATACTTCAGCACATGATGACTAATCCCCTCCCCTCCCTAAGCTTTCCCTAGCTTTAAAACTTGTAAAACATCTTTTATTTTTGAATGATTTAACCGCAAAGATACAAAACGTTTATCTGTTTTGGATTCAATCAACGGAACTGGAATATCAACATCATTAACACGGGTTATACTACAAAAATATTTTTTAAGTAAACAGGCTTTATCGTCATCCTTTGAAAAAGTACTATTTGTCGCTGGGTCCGTCATTGAAGGAATGTTTTGATAATGTCCACCGGATTTTAACATATTTCAACTGTGTCGAATAATTGTGTTCCTCAGGTACACTGAGTGTAGAAGCTATCTACCAGGACCGAGACCAATTTGCTCAGTTAGTCCGAGAAGTTGCCTCCCCTGACGTAGGAAAGATGGGTATTGAAATTCTGAGTTTTACCATCAAAGACATCTTCGACAATGTGCAGTACTTGCAGTCCTTGGGAAGAGCACAGACTGCCAATGTCAAACGTGATGCAGACATAGGTGTCGCTGAGGCTAGTAGAGATGCCGGAATCAGGGTAGGTTTCCATAGTTAAATTAAAATGCAATGCTTTTGATTTAACTCATTCACCCCTGAAATTTCATAATGAACTATTCCAACCTTTGAATTGGAAGAGTTCATTTGTGTCTTCAGGGATGAATGAGTTAATACTGTAAACAAGGAAATATTCATAGCAGTTTAACTTTCTCCTTCCTTAATGAGGGAAGATTTATCTTACTGATAAGTACACAGTATATACTGGTACAATATATTATAGTACACAGCATGTACACTATATATTAAGTATGTGAAGGATGAAGTTGACACTGGTTATACTGGTTTTCACAGTAAAGGGTTTGATGGAGTGAACAATCGACTCGTATGATGTGTTTAATCTATTTAGGTAACAGACCAAAAACTAAAAATGTCCTTTGCACCTAGCTAGGTTTGCAGTAGTTTTGTGTTTGTAAAAAATGCACATTAGTTAATCACGATATGTTGATTTTTTATTTTTATTTTATTTTTTACGATGTCTCCATATCATTTACTGGTACGTGTAACAAATAATACTTTATTTGATAATGTACATTTACATAAAATCAGATTTAAAAGATTCTTAAATATGAATTGAACCTATTATCAAGTATACTGTAGTCAAATTACGGTAGTTATAAGTTCAAAAAAAAAAAGAAGAAAACTTGTGAGCTATTAAACCTCCTCTACTCATAGTTCATTAAAATTTCATGATCTTTTACTAAATATATAAATGATACCGTTGGAAGCACGGTCCCACTACAAACAGAACACAATACATCTCCAGCACACACACACAGGCATACACACATAGGTAGATATATATATAGCCAGGTGGCATAAGTCTAGTAGTTAGCACCTGATAAGGCAGCTCCTGCGAATTCCTCAATATTGTATTGATTAATATATATGCTTATTGTATTGACTGTATAAAATTGTATATCTATGTACTGTAAATCGCTTTAGAGTGGCTTATGTTAGCTAGATAGGGCACTATATCAAATGTTGTATATTTTATATAAATATGTGTCAATTCCCAAAAAAAAATGTAGCTGAAGTGTCAATATTTTGCTACACTTGGTTCCACTTTTCAGCCCATCAGTTTAAAAAAAAAAATAAGCACCTACCTGTAGTTAGTTTATTTTGATCTGATTGTGATGAATTTCGTGACAGGAAGCCGAATGTGACAACAAGAGAATGGATGCTAAATACAGGGCCGATGCCAAAATAGCCGACGCATCCAGAGAATACCAGATGCAGAAGGCTGGGTTTGATATGGAAGTCAATGCTAAGGTAAAATATATACAACCCTGATCAGTACTAGATACCTGTCCAATTGTTGTAGGGGCAAACTTTGAGTTCCTGGAACACATTGCTGGGTTTCAATGTTATACGACACCAGTAATACTAGGCAGTCCTATCTAACATTCTTGTGAGAAGGCACCACATTTACAGGGTTGATATTTATGTCACGTTTACAGGGTTGATATTTATGTCATGTTTACAGGGTTGATATTTATGTCGCGTTTACAGGGTTGATATTTATGTCACGTTTACAAGGTTGATATTTATGTCATGTTTACAGGGTTGATATTTATGTCATGTTTACAGGGTTGATATTTATGTCAAGTTTACAGGGTTGATATTTATGTCACTAATACATCACAGATAATTTGCTTTCATACAAAATTTTAGATTTCAGTGGTCATAGTTTTTTTATAACTGATTTGAACAAAGAGTAAGGAGTATTGTGCATCAGTTTCTTGATTATTTCTTGGTTGTTGTTTATATTGGCGTTTGATTTGATTTTAAGATAACACATTGAAAATGCAACTCAATGCACACCAAAATGGTGTCACCATGACCCCACTTAATCTTTGACTTTGAACTTAAATACTAATTTCCAAGTTCCAACACATATCACTCTCCGACTCATGTCAGAAGATCAAACTTGGTAGACAATAGAAATCACCCACACATACGCCACCAGCGACCAGTGACTTGATCTGCTGACTAAACTAAAGTCCTTAAAGGGAAGCAGTCACTTGCCAAAAAAAGATGAGATTGGACAACTACCAAAACATATTTGGCTGACTCCCAATTTCCAGCGCATATTTCAACCACAGATTCATGTATATGGAGATGAGTGTTTTCCATTCCAAAATGTGGTGACAGCAGCTTCAAATGACCTTTGACCTTGACCTCAAGTACTGATATATAGGTTTTCTGCATTGTAGAGTCTGGATAGCATTTAGAAAAGGCCCGTACCTCGCAAAATCAACTGTCCCACAAGAAAAAGTTACTGGCCAGGGCCAGAGGGCTATTGGCTTAACCAACCCATGCTAAAAAAGAAAAATTGCAAGATGATTGTTAAGCAACTTTGAGTGTGACATCATAATAGCATATTAATAACATATAGAATTGTTTCTTCATTGTATAGAAAGCTGAGGCTGAATTAGCATATGAGCTGCAAGGGGCCAAGGAGAGGCAGAGGATCAGAGCAGAAGAGATTGAAATTGATGTTGTGGAGCGAAAGAAGCAGATTGACGTTGAGGAAAAAGAAATCTTGAGAAAGGAGAAGGAACTGATGGCTACTGTGAAGCGACCAACAGAGGCATCAGCTTACAAAACTGAACAACTTGCAGAGGGTAGAAGGTTGGTACAGTACAGTACGCCTACATCTTGACATGTTGTTACAGCTGTCAAATTATCAATGTTTACCGCAATTTCTTATGTACGCCCTCTTATCATGTGGTATGCGCATCTATATCCTGGTCAAATCCAGCGAGAAAATGTTTCTCGAAAACAATGTATATACATATGTCCTTACTTCCTGTTATAATGAACATATTTAGGATGTGCTTCGGTTAAAAAAGTGGTGGTTTGTTTCCAAGATTTAGTAATGCATTCTAAAACCAGACACAGACTTGTCCACCTACTAGAGAAAGATTTTTGATGAATTAACACTTGTGTATTAAATCCAGGACCCAGACCGTGGAGGCAGCCCGAGCTGATGCCGAGAGGATCCGACTTATTGGTGGGGCTGAAGCCGCAGCCATAGAGGCAGTCGGTAAGGCTGAGGCCGAGAAGATGAGACTAAAGGCAGCAGCTTACAAACAGTACGGAGACGCTGCTATGCTGAGTATGGTGTTGGAAACTCTACCCAAGGTAAAATGTTATTAGCCTCCACAGCTCTTGGCTCCAAAAGATTTATTTTAACCCAGCCCAAGTTGTTGTCTTGATTTTCTAGAATGTCTTTTTTTTTTTATTACGTTTGATATACATTTCAGTTTTGTTTTATTTAGGAATATGAACTGATTTGAACAGAGGATTTTATATATATAAAAAAAATACTTTAGACTCAATTTGAAACAACAAATAGATGGTGATTGAAGTGTTACTGTGTATGATTTTTTTTTCTTACCTGATTTTTCAATTGTATGAAAATGATCATATTTCTCACCCAAGGTTCTTTCCTTAAGAAAATTAGAAAAAAGAGCTAGTCTCTGAAAGATTTGTTTTACTACGCTCAGTTACACATGAATACTTTATGTGGAAATTTTGTTTCTAGATTGCTGCTGAAGTGTCGGCACCATTGTCGAAGACGGAAGAAATTGTCATGATTGGAGATGACCGCACCACAAGCGAGGTCAGCCGACTGATCAGTCAGCTCCCACCAGCTGTGCAGGCCTTGACCGGGGTAGATCTGTCAAAGGTAGGCTGTGCTGCTTGTTTTAACACTCTTCAGATTATAACCTTATACATGTGAAAGTAATTTTCATTATATATTAAGTAGAGATTGTTCATTAAACACAATTTTGTCAATAATCTACTAATGATAATTATAAATATTGTGTGAGATTTTGATTAGGAATCTATTAGGATTATCAAAACGTAATCATATTATCAAAATTAAGAACTATTGTTTTATAGGAATTAACTGTCATTTATTTTCTTCACAGGTTCTTGCTAAGGTTCCGGGCGCCACCTCATAAACATAATCACCAGTCGTTGTTGCAGCAAAATATCAAGGCCACTCCCTTTTACCCATTTCAAACTTGAAGAGGAGGATTACCTCTGCTAAAAACAATACACAAAACTATTTCGGTGAAGAACGGCAGTACGGTTATACAGGGGTAAACGCCAACAAAAACAACAGGATAATATACATGGAGTAGTCTTGTGTGATTTTTTCTCATCGCTGGATGGGTTACTAGCTGACCTGAGTCACCTTTTCTGAACTTTGTACGTCAGTTTCCAAGTGTAGTTGTCCTTTTATTTGCATGCACCGTGTATATGATAATGTAATTGTATTTGGACTTACATGATTTTCTTGCAGATACAGAGATACCTCCGCCCTCAAGTACGGGTTTGGACTCCCTAGTTTTACCGCAATCGGGCGAGTCCATGTAAAAACAAGGGTGGAATCATTTATTTTATTCAGATTTTTAAAATAGAAAATCAGTATCATCGCTAAGTTCTGATTGGACCAGAAAAATAACTATGGTGTTATGGCACCTTCCACAATCAAGTCTGATATTATTTGAGATTTAATATGAAAAAATCTTCAAAAAACATGCAATAATTGTATAGTTTTTGTCAGGGTCTTCATTGAGAGTTATTCCAGATGTGAACAAATAATGTATTTTCAAAATAGGATTTAATAAGATCTTTTGAGACTGAAATAAATTGATCTTGTCACATCATGATAGACTAATTTGTTTGTGGTATTAGTTAACCAAAGTATGTTAATTAGATCTCATTTTCCATTGCTGTATAGGTATAGATTTAACCCCATGTTTTTACTTTGTTGTTCTTGGTTTAAATCAAAGTTTTAAGAAGCAGAAACATGTTTACCTATGGGCAATTGTTAATGTCAGGTTATGTGACATCATCTGTGCCGAAACAACAAAAACGTCTAGCTGAGGATATGTTTAAAATGGCATAATTATGAATATTTGGGAAAAAATGGATTCTTCACAGAATGTTTCGGAAATTTGAGATATTTACAATCCAAATTTTACTTAATTTTATAACACCAAAATAATATTTCGTATTTGGTTGATTTGATTTACCTGTGTATTTACAGATGATATCAAGTGAAATCAATGTGTTGTGTGTCGGAACAAACTTTAACCCTTTCATCCCTATGTAACTTTAATAAACTCTACCATGCATTGATCTGGATAAGTCCATTATGGTCTACAGTGGTGAAAGGGTTAATTAGTGCAGGAAACCTGTACATGTATAATACGACAGATGTGAAAACACTGTTTGATTTTAGCTGAAATCTAATAAAAAGAAATAATTGAAAATGAAATAAAACGGCAGTAATTGCAAACCATTTTACAATCTTGTCTGCTGAATTATATATCATTATGAAAACAATGTGATCGCTCGTTTCATAATACTCAGTTTTCATCAAATGTTAAATGAGTGGAAAATGTTGTCTGAGTATAAACTTTCTTCCTACACACTTGGTTTATTTCTTTGTTACTGTCTACTTACAGTCCTCAGTCCTATATATATATATGTAAGTAGTATCCTAGTCAAATCAGGACTACAGTAATTATTCATTGTATATTTTTAATTTGTATTTTATTAAACCATCTTAACAACGGACGTGATGATTCTTAACTTATAAAAGGGTAAGCTGTCAACAACACTCACCTGTTTGAAAATTTACATCCGTAAAACCTACAAAAAAGGATAAAATGTCACTTGTCATAGAACATCTCTTTAATCTACGAGCATAACTTCTAGAAAGCCGTTAATTCTGTTTATAAGTCTGATTCTGGAACAAGAAAGCCGGAGCTATATTATACTGTTTCTATTGAGTAGCCCCCCTTTGGTTCATCATAGGTTCAGAACATATTTGTATATTTTTTTAAAAAGTTTTTGTTAGCTTTTCAAAAGTTTACTCCCCGATGATGCCTTCCTCATCGATACATCATCATATATCAGTAAAAACGATTTTAATGCTTTAATTTTCAACTAGACTGTGGCAGTTTATAACACCACAAGGCTGGAGTAGGAATATTTTAAGTATATAAGGAGTTTAAAAAAAATGTTTATGTACTGTTTTATGACGGGTCCTTGCATAATAACACGCAATCTGGATGGAGAGGAAGAAAACTGTTCAGTTGGTTCACTTGCCACCAGCTCATTGTTAGTTTACTTTATATTGACAGTAAAACCTCATTATGCTGCCACCATTTGTCCAGAGAAATGTTGGCACTATAAAGGGGTTTGGCGATAAATTGAAGGAAATGTCTGAAGGATTTCTTAAGAAAACGAGAAAAAAGGGACATTGAAATATGTTGGCGGTAAACAAAGTGACAAATGAAACAAGGGGTGTACTATCCAGGTTTTACTGTGTTTAACTAACTTGTCGTAACGTAAACAAGACTCTGTTTTTGGAAATCTTAAGTCAAACTATACCTTTTTCCCCACCACAGTGTTTTATGTATTACATTAGAAATTCTCAATTGATGTTGATAAAATTATGAAGATTTCGATTTCCTGTTATGTGTATTTATGACCTTTTTTGTTAGTTGTTAATTGTTTCTATTTTCTTCATTTTTGTGTCGCCTGCAACACAAGGCGACATATAGATATTACTCTGTCGGTGGCGTCAGTTGCGTCATCCGAAACAAGAGTTTCCATGCGTTCATTTCAGAAGTTTACGTGAATTTTTGGTGGAGTTATGCCCCTTTTATTGCCAAATAAGGGCATTGTGTAGCAAACGAAAGAACTTTTTTTTTTAATCGAATCCTTTCAAATTGTGAACCGTTATGCTAGAAACAATAATGTTCAACATATATTACAGGTTTTTCTGTCGAGTTTCAACTTTCTGCGTTTTGGCATATCTGTTTACGCGACAAGTCAAGCCAAAACACTTTTCTTACTAAAAGCGCTGAGCATACATCCACTCCCTAGGAATTCTTGTTCGAAAGCAGTGTTAACTTTTTCTTTGTTAGTTTTGAAACTTTTGATAGGAATTGGTCCAATTTGTTTAATAATTTCCTGGTGGTTCCCATGCTACTATTGGAACTCTTGTTTCCCTATCATTTGAAATGAATTGCTTATCCACCTAAGTAGTTTTTCATTAATTACTTTTTGCCTGAATGTGTCTTGCAATTTCATCAGGTATAGAACTGTGTACACAACATTTACTCAATCCAGCCAACAGAAAATAGAGTACCTATTCCAACTAAACATTAGGCTGTTGTAAAATTTTGAACTTTTTTCTATTGAGCAGCATTTAAGAAAATTGAAAAAACGTTTGTGGAAGTTTTACCTCACTTGTTCTTGTACTGTACTCCCATCTTCACTTTGTTGGATATAACCTCTGCATACAATATTGTTTTGTGTAATGTGTAGTATTCAAACCCTGCATCTATATATTAGCGAAATTATTAAGGAGATTTTGTACATTTTTACTGCTTTCTCCTGGTGAATTTGTGTAAATAACATCAGATATGTAACAGTAGCTTCTATAATCAAGCCAGGATTTTCTTCATATCATGAAAAAGTGATTACTTTTAATATTTCCTTTTTATCAGTATTGTCCAGTTTTACAATTTGTAATGTAACATTTTATATTGTGACATGTGATTTTTCAAATACATAGAAGACAATGACATTGATACCTGTATACAGAATTCAACATCAAATGAAGCAGAAATTAAGTGGGGTTTTTTGCCTCGCAAGTAAGTGATGCAGAGTATTAAATGTTAACATAATAAAGGAAATGTCACATTTAAAAATTACATTATATTGTCATTAATGTTGTCGAATATACTTGAGAATGTAATCTGTGTGGTTGTGCCTTGTGATTTTTGCAACTTAATTTAGATCATATTTTGCCAGCAAAATCAAGACATCAGGTCCGTCTTATAAAAATGAACTGTTAAAAAGGAATTTCTGTAGGAGAAGATTTCAACATTGTCAATGTTGATGTTTGTTCCTTGCAGTAAACAAGCCTTTATACTAGCTAAGTGTTTTTTGTTATTAAGACTTGTGGGTAAGTTGTAATAGATCACCATTGTTAACAATGCATTGGAGGCAGAATATTGGCCTTTTTGTTACGGTGTAATATTGAAAAATGTAAGGCTCCTCCGCCGACTTCTTCCGACACTAAATAGATTAGGGACTAATAATGCCTTCCTGTGTTACTTCTGAATTCCAGCTGTAGTCTAGTGTAGTCTTTTATAGATCAATGTTAGTGGCCAGTTAGTGGGTATCGTGTTGTGATTTAGGTGTACATGGATACTCTTCATCAAGTTCAAGTTGCTCATTTTCATTGACACCTTTTACTTACCTTTGTCAGTGGAAAAACTTTGTCATAACAGAATTCCTCATCGACACTTTCACTTCCTATGAACAAGGGAAAACTTGAGACTAAGCAGAAATTACCATTTAGCTAGGGGGGGGGGGGGGGGATCTATAATCAGATACCATTTTTAGTTCTCTATTCACAGGATATGAAGTTAAAATTTCATTCAAAAGAAATCTTTGTTATAACATGGTTTTATTTTTTACATACACCCCTTTTTGTTTCGCATTTTCCTAGGGCTTAACCATCCAAGACAAAAAGATTGAATTCAGATTATTTAAAAAAAAATTATTGGAATGATTAAAAAAAACCTTCATATCAAACTGATGCTACTTAATAGTTTTATTAGTTGAGTCCTGGTGTTTGCTTTGGAATGTTTGAATTCTCACCTGTTGGTACCAGTGCTTGTGGCAAATGCTGTGATAAACTATAAAGTACGATTTACTGGATTCCCATTGGTCATTGCATCACCTAGCCAGATGTACAATTGTTTGATTTGGGAGTTAAAAGGGGGAATTGTCGTCGTTAAAAAAGAAAACATGAACTTAATGAGGTTCCACTGTAAATATTCAGTAAAATGAGAATTTTTAGTATCTTCCCATTTACTAATTCTTCCCTACACTTTTAACATTCAATTTGGTAAGGTCCAAATGGGACTTTAGGTAGGGGTGAATGGGTTAAACATCATTGATTCTAACTTCTGTCATAGCATAATTTTAATACTAGCCTTATTATGGTGTACAGTCTTCATGTGCATCATTGTATCCTCATCAATTTCCTTGTAGGTTTGGGTTATTTCCTTACAAATATGATGAAACATAAGTCTGTAATTGTATATTGTATATCAGTAACTCCGTAACATCCGTGTGCATCTTCTCTGTATATTCAATGTTAATTGTATGATTACTGTAATATATACACGACGTAGTATCTCTATTTACATGAATTTGTTTACTATAATAATCATTAAAAAAATCAAAATCAAAAAGATGATCAGCTTGTCCTTAACAAACAATAGTCGCAATGGGTAAACTATCTTGACAGCAATCCTGAAGAATATGATTGGAAGTCAAGGTCAGCATTAAAGAAAATGAACGGTGACCAAACATGCTTCGACAACAATAGCAAGGTACTCGACGATTTCATACAGTAGTCAAATGCTCTTAAGTATTTGCCTTTTAACATGTCAATTATGCACAGTTTTAAACTTCGATATGCTCCTTTTAACGAAATGAGACATGCCTGTACCATGTACATATCAATCGGTATATAAGGATCTTAAATAGGTAAACAATTGTAGAACAACAAAGTTAGAAAAATGTATTAACGTTCGCTTGCTGCTTAATGTATGTAATTATAATGTGACGTTTGACGTTGAAAAGGTAACAATGGCAGCATTCTTTTGTTTCTCCAATTCATTGCAGATTACTATTTCTCCCATTTTGCCAAACCAGTATAACCAATTAAGGAAAAGTTAAAATAAAACTGCCTGCCTGATCGACCTCTTCACGTACGTCTACCTCCCAGGACATTTTTCAGTGAGATAGCACTATGAAAGTCAGTATCAGATCTGCCCTATTACAAGAAGGCAAGTACACCAATATACCCTGTCTCTGGCACACATGCACGCTTACATAAGCACATGGAGGCACGTCTTTAAATGACCTTGGCTGTTAATATGACCTGAATCGCTCACCTGGATATCTAAGCAATCATGGCAAAATATTCTCCAAATGAGATCCAAGGGAATATGCCAGACCCCAAGGCCAATCCTTGTAGCATATGTATATTAAACTTTTCATGCCCAGCAATTTTATGTATGGTTATGGGTTATGACTGCATTCGTCTCTTTTTGCCCAGCATTTGTATTTATAGTTTTGGGGTGGGGATCTCAACTGTTTCAAAGTTATGACCCAGGGGTTAAGTCTGCAAAGGTGGGGCAGACCCTGGGATCCATTCTAATATCATGACTGCATTAGTCTCTTTATGCCCAACAATTGTATATATAGTTTTGGGGTGGGGATCTTAACCATTTTGAAGTTATGGCCCAGGGGTTAAGTCTCCAAGGCTGGGGCAGACCCCAAGGCCATCCAGGAAGCATATGTGCATTCATTTCTTTATACTCAGCAATTGTATATATGTTTTTTTTTGGGCGGGGATCTCAACTGTTTCCAANGGGGGGGGGGGGGGGGGGGGTCAGCTCCACCATTTGTACAATTTTGAAAACCCACCACCTAGGGATGCTTCCAGTGAAATATGGTTGATATCCATCTCTTAGTTCCAGAGAAGAAGTCGCTTAAAGCAATATAGCCAAATTGCCCCCTTTTGGCCCCGCCCCTCAGCCCCCTGTAGGGTCAGCTCAACCATTTGTAAAGTTTTGAATCCCCACCACCTAGGGATGCTTCCAGTCAAATTTAGTCTAATTCCAATCAGTGGTTAAGAAGAAGAAGTCGTTCACAGAAATTATTGACGTACAGACGACGGACGCTACGGTATCGCATAAGCTCACCTTGGTCCTTCGGACCAGGTGAGCTAATAAAAAACAACAAAGCAAGGACCATTTTTTCCACTGATAAAGTTTCTCATGTTTTCAACATGTTTCAAACGTAAAATTGGTGCATGAACAAATTGATTTAGACGTCTTTTTTCGTTACACATCCATGATTTTCACATCGATGTCAAATAAACTTGAGAATAGGATATAAAATATGTTTGAATTTATTTATTAAATTTATTCAAAATATGAAAGTTCGTATTTAAAACATTTGACAAGTGTCTATTCAGAGGTTTCCTTGACAGAAACATTATTTTAGAACACAATTCACGTCAATGTTAGGAATTAACATGTGAGATATCTCAACAAATATCAATTTTCAAGCAGGATCGCAATAACATACAAACGTACTGGAACCAGAAAAGACAAAAAAAAAACCTTTTTATTTCAAAATGAAAATACACGTGATCTGTGAACAAAACACAGTATGACGTACAAGTGAGTTATTAAGCATCTAATACCAATACAACAATGTTCCCATTATTTAACATGGGGTACCAAGAACGTGAGATAGTAAATTATATCGAATTCTAGTAGTAACAGGTTGGTGATGTAGGGAAAACCCACAATGATTATAATGCATACTACACACAACAGAATATCCATATAGCAACAACAATGCGAATCACTTCATTAACCAATACTGGAGACATTTTTGTTCGCCTAGAGCAGATTTATCCAAAGAAGTTACATATTCACAGCGTATAAATAGAGATACCCTAAAATCTCAATTCTTAGGCGCGGTTTGTTTCCTATTTTAGTATGGAACCCCAGCCATTTTTAGAAGCCGGCTTATTTTCAAGACTCTTATTTTCGAAGTCTTTTACACCGGTAGCAATCGAAGGATTGTTTTGATGTCCTTCCTTTTTTGCACAGAAAATGAATGATATACAGGTTTATAAATGAACATATTCTTTTCTTTTATCGAATTGTTACAACATGTATAACAAAACTAGGCTATTTGACTGTTACCTGAAAACTTGTTTTTGCATACTGGCAACATTTTGCTCGTACCTTAAATCTAACGCATCTTTTAAAGACGGCCTATTATCAAAGACGGCTTATTTGCAAATCCGTCTTATTTTCAAGTCATGTTTTTAACGAGATTTCAGGGGGTATGCTACATTACTGGTAAAGTGAGAGTCCTTGATTTAATGGGTATGAATATATTTGTAAACAAGGTAACAATGGGCCCACTACATGATAAAATATGATGTCCATTTGTATTTGTTCCTTATTGTCCTGCAGGCGAAAGACTCATTTCCAAGAATTTTCTTTTCACAAAACACGTCCACCACTGAAAAGAGATAAGAAATCACAGTTGATAAAAGAGCATAGATATGAAATTAAACCAATGATTTGCGAAAAAATCCTTAACACAAAGTGAACAACGTTAGTTGTCTTCTCGGACAAGGAGTATATTGCATTTGGCATTTATATAAGACATGTATCGCTGTGTCCGCTACAATCCATTGCAACTGTTGGAATATTTGTCTTACCGTGCTCTGCACAATTAAAGTTTAACTTTTTACCCAATGTTGCCCAGTATGCCAATTTGATGGGCCATTAAGACTATAGCAAAACTTATCATAAACTAGAGAGAACAATAATTTCATATAAAATATATAATATGCGTGCTTCAACTTTTTAAAGGTTATTCTTAGAGACTAAAATGTTCTCGTAAAAAGGGGAGAAACGCATACTAGCTCTGGGTTTACAACTTCCCCACCCCTTATTCGGCATAACTATGTTGGTAAGCTTTCGAAAAATTATAACTTCTGCTTTACAAACCTTGCCCCCTAACCCCCACCACGAGGAAAAAAATAGATAAGGCTAAGACTAGTCATATTTGTTTTCGTGACTTTATAGAGCGAAATGTGAGGTCTAATTCGGTTAGTGCTGTGACAATTATTCATTATGTAAGTTAACGTAGAAATCCACTATGCAGCAACACCAACAAAATGTAGTTAATAGTCTTTCCAAACTGAAAAAGACGAGAAGTATTCAAGTCTTCTTTAATGCGATTTTTCAAAGAGAAAAGAAAATCAAGGACAGCGTTACTATACCTTGCTTGGTTTGTCTGTTTCAGAATCGATCACTTGTTCACACATACGAAGTGCTGTCTCTTGTCGGATCTGCTGGAGGTACGTCCTCATAGTATCTGTAAAATATATGGATATGTTACATAAATGTATACTGTACATCACTTCTCCCTTATATAACAAAATAATGCTTATATATGCTTTCGGAAAAAAACCATTCGGAAAATGTATGAGGTCAATGCCATTCCATTTGTTTCAATGTGTTGGATATCCTGTGCTGTGAGATATACGATCACGTATGTTATAAAAAATATCAAAACCTTTTTTTTTTTTTTTTTTTTTTTTTTAAATATACACAATGGCTTTATTGTTAATTTATTTTATATTTTACAATCATTTTGATCATGATTAGAGTTGTCTCCCTTGAAAAAAATCGAGACATTCTGCACGAAGATATTTTTTTTTTTTTTT